TCGTAACACCTTTATCTTTTTATTGAGTTGATTCTCAACTTCATTCTTATAAAGAATAAACTTATCAATAGCTTCGTTCTTGCTTTTTAGCAAATACACATAATAGTATCTTGTGCTATCATCAACAAAAGTAATAAAACACTTATTGCCACCCCTTGTTTGTACAAACTTTAGGTCACAAATATCAATGTGAACTAAATCAAGAGGATTTGTGATTCTTTCAATACTATTAAACGATGACTTTGTCAATTTTACCTCAACACAAGTTTCACACTTATGTTTGGAATCGATTTGGAAAATAGGTATGTGATTTAAGTTAATTAATTTACGCAAAGTATTATAATAACATGTCCTAGTCTACCATGCCACACATAGGAAGACTCAAGCAAATAAGAAGAAGAATTTCTCTTATTAATGCTATTAGGTTTTACAACACAAACATTAAGCTTAAGCAGCCCATCACTCACATAACCCTTTCTAACATACATTCCATTCTTTGACAAAACTACTTTGTTTGACTCAAGAACTATACAGAAACCATACTTGTTCAGCAAAGAACCAGACACTAGGTTCTTATGGATTTCCGGCACATACAGAACATTGTTCAGAGTTAGCTCTTTCCCATATGTTATCTTTAAGACCACCCTTCCTTGGCCTTCAATCTCTGAAATAGCTGAATTTCCCATGGACAACTTTTCCCCGTTCTCATTTGGTTCAAAGGAATTAAATGGTCTTTTGTCAGAGCAGACATACCGAGTGGCTCCAGTGTCAAGCCACCATTCTCTTGGGATAGACCCAACCAGATTCACTTCTGAAACCACTGTAGAGAGACTTATGTCAGAGACATCCTAAGTAATATTCACCATAACATTTGCCTCTTTGATTCGGTTTCTTCTTGGCAATCTACAATTGGAAGCTTTGTGACCCATATTGTCACAGTTAAAACACTTGCCTTGGAACTTTTTTGGCTTCTTAGAAATGCCTCATTTTGGCCCTAGCTTGGCCTTTTTCCCTATCTTCTTAGAATTAGAACTCTGACCATGCTCCATAGCATTTGCTTTTGCTGCTACAGGAGTAAACCCTCTATTTTCAGAACTTTTGTTGTCTTTTCAATCTAAAGTCTAACAATGAGTTCTTTAAAGTTCATCTCTTTTCGCTTGTGCTTAAGATAGTTCTTGAAATCTTTCCATGAGGGAGGTAGCTTCTCAATAATGGCAACTACTTGGAAAGTTTCACTTAGCACCATCCCTTCAGAATGAATTTCATGTAAAATCAACTGGATCTCTTGCACTTGATTGATAATAGCTCTTTAGTCCACCATTTTATAATCGAGGAATCGTCCCACCACAAACGTTTTGGACCAAGCATCCTCAGTTTTATATTTAGGGTCTAAAGACTCCCATAATTCTTTGGCCATTTTCTTCGAAGTGTACACACTGTACAATGAATCTATCAAACAATTCATGACATAATTTTGGCACGAAAATTCAGAATGTTTCCAAGCATCAACAACACTGATACTTGAACATCGTGCTCATCTTCTTTGAGCGTAGGAGCATCCTCAGTCAAGAATCTCGCAAGATTCAAGGTGGTCAAATGGAAAAACATCTTTTTTTGTCACCTCTTGAAATGCATTCCACTGAATTTTTTCTGGTTTTTCCTCATGGTTCATAGGAATAGATGTCGGTGCCACATGAGTTGGTGTAGGAGCCACAACTTGGTTCGACATATCACCAGGGTTTGATTCAGATGTCATTTTCTGAAAAATCCAAACCAAAATTTATTATGTGAATTTTTGAACAGTAGTGAAAAGATAATTCCTAAGAAACACTGAAGGGGTCACAAACAGTCCCTCTTAAAATCTAGTCTCCTTAGATAGAATTTCTTTAAATCGTACTGTTCAAATTTCACCACCACACTTTTACTGCACAAGGACTGCATCCTTTGGAAATATCAAAACACAATGTTTTTAACAACATAAACTACAATTACTAATAAAATCAAATATGTTTTAAGATTGTTATAAAAAAAAATATTGTTATAAAATAATCAACTATTATATTAGTAACCGCAAATAATAAATCTTTTTAATATAAAACAATAGAATTAACTGTCAATAAATTAAAAAGACAATATAATAGAATTAACAATACCAACAACTTGATCACGTATAGGAAATCCTTCAGAATGATAGGATGAGATTCGGAGAATACAACCTTAGGAAGAATGCCGAGGCCTGTGTAACACACAGTTTCCTTAAAACAGATTCGCCTCCTTCACTCGGGTGCACAAGGATTTGAGCAGCGTCTGTTTCCCAGGATACAACGACAGATGAATAGCAAGAGAAGCACCGCTTTTTTTTCCTAACGAACTGAATAAAGCCTTAACTCCAACAAAAGAAAACCTTAAAAACTAGAAAGAAAATAAGAAATTGAAAGAGCTCTCAACTTTTTTTGGTGTGTTTGAAATGAGAGGAAGAACACATTTTTATACTACTCAAGGTGGGACAAAACATTGAATTCCACCATTATTTTCCACCTTTTCACTTTCCAATTCTTAAAACTTCCTCCATTAATCCACTAACCTTTCACCTTTCAAATTCTCAACTTACACTACCACTTTCATTCCATTTATTTCATTCAATTTAATAAAATATTCCAACAAAAGTTGCATTGGTTTTACCAGTTGCGATTGCAACCGTTAAAAGTGCTTTTTCTGCAATGAATCTTGTGAAAAGTTGGTTACGCAATTGAATAGGAGATCAATGGATGAATGATTGCTTGGTCACCTACATTGAGAAAGATGTATTTGATACAATTGACAATGAGATGATTATTCAACGTTTTCAAAATATGAAAACTCATCGAAGACAATTGTAGAAAAAATGTTTTATTTTTACAAAAATTGTGTTTTTTGAAGATATTTATTTGTATTTTGTAACTTTTTGTTGAAGCTCATCGTAATGAAAAAAAAAGTATGGTTACGATTGGTTTTATTTTATTTTATTTTATTTTATTTTTTTGTCTCCATAGAGTGAAATTCCTAATCCGCCACTAGATAGGTTTAAGAAATTTTTATGTACAAAAACAAACAATTTAACACTTGTAACCATACTGTAAAAAGTAAAAAAAAAAACAAATATATCATTCATATTTAACTATTCAAATTTATTCAGTTTATAAACCAATTCAGTATAATTCAGTTTTCAGATAAACAAACAAACGCCACCTAAGTGTTCCATTTTGAAGCCAATGAGTCTCATTATTTCTTTCACTAATATAAAAACCTCTCATCCTATTGTCAATGTCTCTTGGTATACTAATTGTAATATGGAATACAAACTTGTAAGATAAAAAATTATATAAACACCCTACGAGCCCCATAGGCTAAGCACACTTCAACTAATTTTTAAAATTCATTGAACATCATACAAGTCAACTAATCTTCGAGATCCATTGAACACCCCACAAACTCAATAGATTAGAAAAGTCACAAATGTAGTAAGTGGTCACTTAATGAGACTCGAACATAAGACCTTTAGGCAACCTAAAGTCTTGACATCCGGCCACAAAGCCTAAATGGTTTTTGTTCATTTTGTTTCTTTCGATTTTCCCGATGCAATACTAACAATGTAACAAACTCCCATTTTGCCATTTTAAGAGTATTAAAAAAACCAATACATAAATGGTTAAAGGTAGTTTCGAAATTAAATAGGGTTTGGTCAGTTAAAAAAAAAAAAAATTATGGACTTTAAATCTTGGGAAGGTGCACCACTACAACTATAGATAGGGTCCGAACTGATAATAGGTGGAACTAATTATCATAATCACTATTAATTTTTTGTCATTTGCATATGGGTATAATCGGTAACGACAATATTATACACACACACATTTGATAATTATAAAATAATGAGATAAATAAAATAATTTATCAAATCAACTCCTAAAAAGTCATGTTAACCCATGCCTTACCCAACCTAAAAGAAGAAAGCTTAAACATTTTAAGATAATATTTAAAATTATCTCGATTGTATATGATATTGACTTATAAATAAAAAGTTACCATGATGAGTAAAATATTAATGTTACATATACTGACACATCACTTGAAAAAAATGGAATACTTAATCTGACCAATTGGTAACTTCATAATTTTATTACGTGTAATATTGCGTATCCAACTGGTAAAGAATCCAATTGAACCATATGGTACCTTAAAAAAATAAAACCTATATATTCCAATTCAAGTGATGTATTATTGTATCATGCATATGTCAACGCTCCTCACTTGAATAAAAAAAAAATTGAGTTTTATTTTATCAATAATACTACACTTACATTCTAATTTTATAAACTTTTTTTTACAATCTCGACGTGATAATTCACAAATAAGTCCCGTTTGCTTGCAATAGATTTTATCTATCTAATTGTGAGTTATCATATCAAAATTGTAGGAGAAAATTTATAAAATTAGAGTGTAAGTTAATCTTTATTGTTATTTTATTTAGAATAAGTAGCCCAACTGTACACCTAATACTTAATCTAACCCATGATGAGCTGAGCAAACCATTCACGATTTGGGCCATTGTTGCGCCATATAAATATAAGAAGCAAGAGATATCCAATCCACAATTGGGGTGTGTAGTAGGTAAAGGTCAAGATCTCTTAAAATGACACAACTTTCTTTAACATATGTCTTGTTGTGGTAGGTAAAAAGCTATCCCACATTCATCAATCCATACTTCTGAAGTCAAATTGCCACCACCACCAAACTTTGACCCCACTTTGGCCCCCACTCACCACCTAAAACTACTCTAACCCACCAACCCTATTCCTCATTTCTCACTCCGACCATCACCAAACTCTTTTGCTTTTCTTCTTATGTTCACCTTTTTTATCTCAATTTTACCCCCCAAACTTTACAATATCCCCCATTTCTCACCTCACCAACCGCCTTCACCAACTTATTCCTGCTCCTATATCAATATCAATATCAACCTATTGCCTTAGCTTCTGTGAGGCATTCATCAAAACACCTTCGCCATTTCTCTGCAACTCTAACTCAATACCTTCTCTCAATGGAAGTTCAAGCTAAGCCGCAGGAAGAACTCATCGTTTATCGCTCAAAACTCCCCGATATCTACATCCCAAATCATCTCCCTCTCCATTCATATTGCTTTGAGAAAATTGCAGAAGTCGCTTCACGTCCCTGTTTGATCAATGGCTCCACCGGTGACGTCTACACCTACTCCGACGTCGAACTCACCTCCCGCAAAATCGCCTCCGGTTTAAACAAGCTCGGCATTCAACAATACGACGTTATAATGTTGCTCCTCCCCAACTTCCCTGAATTCATTCTATCATTTCTTGGGGCTTCCTATCGCGGCGCAGTCGCCACTGCTGCCAACCCTTTCTTCACGCCGGCAGAGATTTCAAAGCAAGCCGAAGCATCGAACGCCAAGCTCATAATAACACAAGCGTGTTACGTCGACAAAGTTAAGGCCTTATCCGAAAAAGGAGACGTCAAGATCATGTGCATTGACGCAGCCCCGGACGGTTGTTTACATTTCTCTGAACTAACGCAGGCCGATGAGAACGATTTTCCGGAAGTTAAATTCAACCCGGACGACGTCGTGGCATTACCATACTCCTCCGGGACAACGGGGCTGCCAAAAGGAGTGATGTTAACGCACAAAGGACTGGTGACAAGCGTGGCACAACAAGTTGACGGAGAGAATCCCAATTTGTATTTCCATTGTGAAGATGTAATCTTGTGTGTGTTGCCACTGTTTCACATCTACGCGTTGAATTCGATTTTTCTTGCCGGGCTGAGAGCCGGGGCGACCATTTTGCTCATGCAGAAGTTTGAGATAAATTCATTGTTGCAGCTGGTACAGAGGTACAAGGTAACGGTGGCGCCTATCGTGCCGCCGATCGTTCTGGCCATCGCGAAGTCGCCTGACGTCGACAAGTATGATTTGTCGTCGATCAGAATTATAAAATCCGGAGCGGCACCGCTGGGGAAGGAGCTTGAAGATTCTGTGAGAGCCAAATTTCCTAACGCCACACTTGGTCAGGTATGGCCTGCGATTATTAATATTTTTGTTTAAGTAATGTGATTAATGCCACCTATTTGGGTAACCAACACGGTATCGTTACTGGGTTATTGCCTGCCACTGTACATCAACATATAAACTTTGTACTGGTGTGCCGGTAATGATGCTATTATAGTCCTCTAAGGATTCTTAAACTGGCAACTTAAATTCCTTACCATTTCACATTGTTTTTTAACAACACAAATGAGGGGGTTTTTATGGAGATTTCATAACTTAGGTAAGTCTGCAAATCATTTTTCACATTTCTTAGACAACAGCTTACTTTCACCATACGTTAAGGACAAAAGCGTACTTTCACCATATGTTAAGGACAAAAACGTAAATTGATCATACTTTAGCTAATTGAATGATTAGGGCCTAGGGGATACCCTTAGTAGTTTTAATTTTAAAATTTTTGGGGGTCCAAAATTTGCAGTTAATAATTAATATTATGATCCCATCATGTCGCACAACTACCATTTTAGGTGATTTATGATTGTAACACGTAGCCTTCCCCGTTTTATTTATTGTATATGATTGTATAAAGTAAGATACTAAATAAAACTTTATCTTATTGATATTTTCAAAAATAATTTATTGAATATTAATTATTTTATAAGGTAGTAATTTGATTAAAAACATTACATGTTTAATTTTGTGTTGATGAAAATTATAAAATTCTTCATAATTTAATTGTGGGTGTTTTTTATTAATAGCCAAATCTATAATAAATTAAAATTTATTTCCAATTAAATAAGAACCAAAATTATGTTATTAGATTGACAGTTCCTCTTCAACCACAAATATTTAATGAAAGATTTTTTTAATCAATGATTCTTAATTTATTTATTCAACAATATTATCATTGAGTGATCGAGTGGTCAATTAAAACTGTTAGATATAATACTCAAAAAATTCTAAATTTAATTCATCTCAACTGTTAATAGGAGTCATATGATAGTTTTAAGATCTTGAGGGATTAGTTGAGATAAATTGACCTGACAACCCCGATCATTGGAAAAAAAAAAAGTTGGAATCTACTCGTCATGCTTTGAAAACTATGTCGTAATCATAAGATCTTAGTTATTTTTCTTTAATTTTATTTATTTATTAAGTGCTTAATCAAAGTGGGACGATGAGTCAACACATATAGAAAAGTAGTATTTTTAAACCAAATTGATTAAATATTAGTACTTTGATCTGAATTTTTAGTTGCTTTCTGCTTTTTGGGCCTTTTAGTATTGATTTCAGGGCCCATGTCTTCACCACCATCATTACACCAAAGAAATGGGCCTATTGGCCCATTTCCATGTTGATTAGGTTTTTCAAATTTACCTGAATTTTTTATTTGATTTTATAATTGATAATTATTATAATTTTTTTTTTAACCATTTGTTATTTTATTTTTTCAAAATTTAATTGGAAAAAGTAAAAATTTATATTTCGAGATTTGAGTATGTATTTAATATATTTCTCTTTTCTGAAGACCTTTTTGATATAATCCTCATATACTATATGAATATGTTATTATTTTTTTAAAATCAAATCAAAGATTATTATATTAAAAAATATCAAGTAACTCAGAAGTTTTTTTTTTTTTTTTTCTGTCAGAAATTAATATTGTAAAATAATAAAAATAACTCTCATAATTATTTTACAGGGATATGGAATGACAGAGGCTGGACCAGTTCTAGCAATGGGTTTGGCATTCGCAAAACAGCCATTTCCAATCAAACCAGGAGCCTGTGGAACTGTTGTTCGAAATGCAGAGATGAAGATCATCGACCCTGATACCGGCACTTACCTTCCTAGGAATCAGCCCGGAGAAATCTGCATCAGAGGCGATCAGATCATGAAAGGTACGTGTGTGTGTGTATATATATAGATATAGTAATTCTCTAGTCAGACTGTCAAGACCTTACTAATTGCTCTGGATATTATTGAAACAGGATATCTGAATGACGTGGAAGCCACAAAGAGAACGATAGACAGTGGAGGGTGGCTGCATACCGGAGACATTGGTTACATCGATGACGATGATGAATTGTTCATCGTTGATCGATTGAAGGAGCTGATCAAATACAAAGGATTTCAAGTTGCTCCTGCTGAACTTGAAGCCATGCTTCTCACCCATCCCAGAATCAGTGATGCTGCCGTTGTACCGTAAGTTACTGGACTAAAATCTTGGTAATGTTAACTGTTTAATAGTGGAATAACTAAAATTTTTGTAATTAACAGGATGAAAGATGATCAAGCAGGAGAGGTTCCAGTTGCATTTATTGTGAAAGCAAATGATTCTCAAATCACTGAGGATGAAGTGAAGCAATTTATTTCCAAACAGGTATATTTTCAATCACCATTTTCTGATATTCAAATTAAAAGTGTTGGAAAATTATTAAAAAGTGGTTTTGTTTGTGTTTGTGATGATGCAGGTTGTGTTCTACAAGAGAATAAATCGTGTATTTTTCATTGATGCAATTCCGAAAGCACCATCAGGGAAGATTTTAAGAAAAGATTTAAGAGCTAAATTAGCAACCGGTTTACCAAACTAGACTTTAATAATTTGCCAAATCAGATAAATGATAAAGTGCTTTTGGAAAAAGCAATTAATTTGGCTTCAAAGGAAATTTATGGGATTTGTTGTTGATTATGCTGAGATTCAAAAGAATTCATGTATGTAAATCTATGAATCAAATTAAGAATTTATTATAACATGATTTTATCGCTTTTATTACATAATTTTTGTGTCGCTAAAGTGCCTCAACTCATTAAGTTTTTCTGGCATCCTTTAAATCAAAGAATAATTGATTATATCTATATAAATTTTCTTTCTCTATTTTTTTTCTTTAAAGATTAAAGGTTCACAAACAATATAAAAAACCAATTTGTAATTNGATAAATGATAAAGTGCTTTTGGAAAAAGCAATTAATTTGGCTTCAAAGGAAATTTATGGGATTTGTTGTTGATTATGCTGAGATTCAAAAGAATTGATGTATGTAAATCTATGAATCAAATTAAGAATTTATTATAACATGATTTTATCGCTTTTATTACATAATTTTTGTGTCGCTAAAGTGCCTCAACTCATTAAGTTTTTCTGGCATCCTTTAAATCAAAGAATAATTGATTATATCTATATAAATTTTCTTTCTCTATTTTTTTTCTTTAAAGATTAAAGGTTCACAAACAATATTAAAAACCCATTTGTAATTTAGAAGATTTAAATCTTGTAAAATTGACGAAAAGTGAGAAATAGGACATTGATTGCTGTACGGGTAAAATATTGTACTGGACCCCAATGTTCTGAAAACCGGACCGGGAGCCGACTCGGCCAAATGGCCGGTTCCCGGTTCGAACGGTCGGACTAGTCGGACCGGTCGGTCCGACTGATGATATCAGCATGATGTCATGCTGACATCAGCATACTGAAACAAGCAAAAACGCAAAAATGGCAAAAAATTCAGATTCTCCGCCTAATTAAAGTTTAAAAACCATCAAAACCAAGATGAAAAACAGAAAAAGTGATAGACTGGAGAGTGGAGAGTGGAGGAGATCGCGAATGTTACTGCAAACCAAGATGAAAAAGTCAAAAGTGATAGACTGGAGAGTGGAGGAGATCACGAATGGCAGACTGGCAGTAGCAATCCAAGATGAAAAACTGAAAAACTGAAGAAGGGGCAAGACCGCAAGAGTGCAAGACGACTCTGTATCTGATCTGTAGCTCAAAACTCAAAAGCAAAATAGCAAATTGAAAAATGAAAATTAAATTTGTTAAAGTCTGACACTTTGACTTTGTGAGTTTGTGTGTGCGGCTGTGAGCAACTGAGCATTGAGCAACTGTAGTTTTTAATTTTAAAAAAAAAAATTTCTCATTTCATGTGTTAAACCGGATGGGGGTGTGGACCGAAAATTTGTTAAATACCGGTTGGACCGTCGGTTTGCTACAGTGAGACGGTCCAACCGCGGTTTGAAATGGTTTGACCCTAAATCCTGGTTATTTGCTCTCTTTAAACCGGAAATGCAAGCGGGTGGCAGTTCGACCGGTTCGACTGCCCGGTCCGGTCCGGGTTTCAGAACCTTGCTGGACCCTTGACGGCCTAGTAGTGTTATAATCATTATATGGCCCAGTATCTTGACCCAACTTCGGTTGGCCCACATCGGAATTACGGCTTGATGCCTTGGTTCAACCCTGGTTGCTCCTGCAAAACAACCACGACTTGAATCTGATTGGTCTTGTGTTAAAGTCCTTTCCTAAGAAGGTTTGCTTCGCGAGTTGATCCAATCTTCAAGTTGATCCCTTCTATGAGCCTATCCACACTCCACAAGTTGGGTTATTCTACGAAACCACTTCGCGATTTGGGTCACTCAACGAGTTGGATCTCTCTGACGAGTTGGCCTTCTTTGTAGTGACAAGTTGACCAAGGGTTCCGAGCTCATTTAACTTCGAACTCCACAAAGGATCCTGGCACCTTAAGAGTTCCAAGCTCCATGCAAATACTAGCTCGATATAGACTTCTAACTCTGCAAAAAGTCTAGCAATCTAAGACTCCTAGTCTTAAATGATCTCAAATAGTTAACAAGTCCCAAAGTCCCATACAGACTCTAACACCCATGGACTCCTAGTCTTATCAAGATTCTCATAAATCCTAGTGATTTTAATTCTTACAACGAACTTTCTTCCTCAAGTATTTTGGTTTCGCATAAACTAGTATTCTTATACAGACAAACCATAGAACTTCTGGTTCTATTAAGACTGAAACCTTCATAGCTTGCTATAAAAACAGAGGCTTGCCTCTCGAATATGGAGGATTGAGGATACTCTTTACACACTATCAGCCAATAGTCTAGAATCTAAGCATTCTAAACGCCAGCCTTATATAAATTCGCCCTCCTTTTGCCTTATGTAAATCTATGAATCAAATTAAGAATTTATTATAAAATTATTTTATGGCTTTTATTACATAATTATTTCTTCAATATTTTTTATGGGATACATTATGTAAATAAACATAGCTCTTAACTGACAATTGTTTACTTTAAACAAGTTTTTGTATAAAATAAAGAGTAAACGACTTTTTCTCACTCAAATAATGGTTTAATGATACTTTCACACCCATAGACTTTTAAAATACTACTTTACTACCCAAATTTATATTCCTTTTCAGATTTCGACATCGTTGTAACCCCACATCACCACCATTCTCTTCCTCGATCATCACTCACTAAAACCTCTCAAACCCTACTCCCGTCAACCCTACCAATCTTCGAAAATAGAGGGATTAGGGTTTATACAGTCGCCCCTAACAAGTCAAATTTCGATCAATCTTAATCACCAAAATTCAACATTCTACCACCAAAAGACTCACAGACGGTTGACAGATGATCCAAGGAGTTCTATGGTAACTTCTTCGAAATGCTAAAAAAAAAAAAAGATACTTTATTGTCATTTTATTTTATAACTTGATTTTCTTTTAGTAATATATGCAATATTGTTTTTCCTATCTTCAAAAACTCTAACAGCTAAAACGAGTTTGCTCTCTATTCACTGTCGGATATAAATTTGGATAATAAATTATTATTTAAAAGTCTTGGATAGAAAGTGTCATTAAGCTATTATTTGGATAAAAAAAAAGTCGTTAGCTCTAAAATAAAGTATAAAAATGGCTCATACGGATATGGGCTTTATTAAGTAAACCTAATCATTTCTAAGTGCACTTAGCTAGACCCCAAAATCCCAATTACAACGATTAAATCCTGCCCTGTTATAAATGAACCACTAAATAATTTAGGATTAAAGACATAGAGTATGATATAATAATAAAAATTTTCTTATAATTTCTAAAATAACAAAAAAATATCATACCATCAAGAATTGCTAATGAACCGTAAAATTCACGTAGTAAGAGTTAGTAAATGTTATCAAATTATCTTTTATTGTATGCTGATACTTAAAACTTAATGATAAGAGAATTTCTATTATTTTAAAAACTCATAAGAATTGTGATTTTATCTACTAAGAAGAATTAATGTTATTACCCATATTATATGATCAGTGATCACACTGATGAAGCTTTGGAGTTTTCTTTATGACAAAAAACATGATAAAAATATTATAGGTCGTTGGACCAAACAACGACTGGTATTATAAAACAAGAAAATTGATGAGGCCATTCACCGTCTCATTAAACTAACTTGTTTTTATATTATATTTTTTTTTTCCTTTTCCGCGCGCTGGAAGCCTGGACCGGACCATCGCCTCCATACTTTATCAAAAAGGAAAAAATAAAATATTAATGTTAATTAAATAATCAAAAATGACCTAATTCGTTTGAGAGTCCCACCACTATGGACCAATAAGCCATGGGTAATTTGGATGGTCTAACGGTAAAAGAATAAAATGGTTAAACATGGATTCTTAAGTTTGAGATCTCCCTCAACAATAATAAGGGTGATTACTGAGAGGATTTATCTGATCGTTCACTTTAAGGTCCTAAGAGATTAGTTCAAGTACACAAAAGTTGTTCCAAACACCCCTGATCACCAAAAAAGAAAAATAAACAATGGATACTATTGGTTACTCTATTTAATATGATATTAAAATTGTTTTCAATATATATATCTTATTTTTATTTTTATTTTGCAATAAAACCTATATGAGTTTTTTTATAAATATATCAATCAAATGTGTTTACATAGATATTATTATATCTCTTGTTTTTTAAAACAAAATGATTTAACTAATTAAGATAATAAAACCAACAAAAAATCTTGGAAAAATACTATTCATTTGATAAAAATAAAAAAAAAAAAAAAAAAATTTGAAATAATGAGTTGAGACAAATTAATATAAAAAGGAAAAGCAATAAATACTGAAAGGGGGATATTTTATTTTAGTTATTTTTCTCATTCAAAGTGCTACATATGATTTTTTAAAATTTTCTTATCCAATATTTCGACTCAATATTATTATAAATAAACCATTTTCAATATTAAAAAATTACATATGTAACATTATTTACCATATAAATATAAAAAAAAATTATTATTATTATCCCATTTGCTCCATTTTATAAAAATTGGATAGATAAATACTGTCTACATATCATAACATGTTACACTAGAAAGATGGCACGTATATAGGCCCGACCCACAAGAATTTTTCTATTTTTTTCTATGAAAGTTTAGTAGCCAAAATGAAAATCTTATTTCGTCCTTAAGGTTTGACCTAAATACATTTGAGTCTAATCGAACCTCTTAATAGCATTACGGTCCCCATGAGGTGTCAGCATCAGCAAGACAAAAATTGGATATTTTACAGGGACTTTGCAAAAAAGTTTCCCCCTCAAGGTTTGAGGAAAGAAAACACACTCGAGGTTTCCACCGGACGGAAAATTTGACCGGTTTGAAGATTTTCCAATTTTTGAAAATTCTTAAAGTTTTTAAATATTTTATAAAATAATTTATATTTAAATTAATTAATTTAGGTATAAAATGGGGAATCACAATTTAGAAAAGGGGTACATTATTAATAATAATGGATGGCATTCCCACTCCACCCTTTTTAAAGAAATAAGATTCCTATTCTTTATACAACTCTTATAAATCAAACAAGGGATAAAGAATAAGATTCCGGTTCCCTTGTCCATTCACCCCAAGCAAACATGACGTAACATCATTTGGATGTGTTTGGTTCTGGCAATGTTTTATTATAAAAAAATGTAGGATTACCAAAGAGATATATAACCTTAAACATTAATTATAAATTATTATTGTGTTTGATTCGTGTGGGTTGTATAAATGATTAGTGGGTTGTATAAATGATTAATGTGTTTGACAAAATATTTAATATATATGCGATATTTCGGTCCAAATAATTTATTAATGAGGTTAAAGAAATCATTCAACAAGTTTGGTTAATTGTTATTTGATATCAATAGGAGGGCAATTGTGTTCGAAATTTTTATTAAATAAGGGTAAAATTGGAACAAAAATAGGATTACCACAATAATCTTAAAATACAACCCTCTGAGTTGGTAATCACATAACTCCCTATTATATCACCTCTCAAATTACTTGAGTAATAAAAGATTACCTGCTGAAACAAACAAGGTAATGACCAAAATCTTTAATTACCTGCTGAAACAAACAAGGTAATGATCGGATTAAAAGATAGATTGTCGGAGTAATCTTTCAAAGGCCCTAACCAAACGAGCCCTTGTCTAGTTATATTTTCTATTCAATTTTTATTTCTTCAATTTTTATTTTAACTATATAAATAGTAATATTTATTGAGTAATATTATATTTACAAAGAAATCATACAAAGATCTCCGTATAAAATGACGCGGCAAAAAAAGAATGGAAAAGTGAATATAGTGAGTTTGACTTTTTATTTTACTCTTCGATTCATTTTTTGTCACGCCACTTTGTGTGAAATTTTTTTAAAAATTTCTTTATAAGTATAATATTATTGATATTTATTAACTAATTATATATAATAAGTTATAGTTAAAACAAATATATGAATAGTTAAATTATTATCTAATTTTATAAAATAAACTAAAAATAAAAAAACCTTAATTTAATTAAATTACAATTTAAATAAATGATAAAATAAAATGGGAGAGTGAAGTATAATAAGATAAAAGATACTCAATTTTTTTGAAACAAAGTTTCAGATTCTTTTCAGATTTTATTTTTTTGATTTGTAAATATATTTAAAACAAAAAATTGAATATAACATATAATTATTTAAAGGGTATTATAGTCTTTCTTGTTAAAATAATAAATTATTTGGGTGCATTTGTTACTATCCAAAACCCTTGGGGTGTTTTTTCATCAAACCTTGTGAAGGAAATGAAAAAAAAAAAAAACCAAATGAGGGCTAAAATGTTACTAAAAGTAAACAGGACAAAAAGTAGGGGCTAAAACGTAATTGACCCACAAGAAAATACGTACATACGGTAGACACAAGATTGGAGAGTGAGCTTCAGTTCATCTTCACCAAACGCGTCGCTGTTTTACTTCACCCAGTAAATTTTTCTCTACAAAAATCGCATCAAAACCGACAAATTTCTGGATCAGATCACGAACGGACGTGGGAGATAATCTCACAACACACACCCCAGAGGATTGGATTGGATTGAATCGAAACAAGTGAAAGCGAACTCTTCACACATAAAAGCTTACCCACTTTGCTCTTGTTTTAATGGCGGATATTTCGAGAACTCTCCAACTCATCTCTAATTTCTCCTCTCTATCCCTTTTCAAACTTACCCTTTTCTTTAAACGCTCTCTTATGGTTTCTTTCACCTCCCTTTCTTCTCTCTAGTACTCGTTTTCTTTTGCCTTGCTTTCTTCTTGTTGGTCTGAGTCTTTTGAGCTTGTGATTTTGTGTTCCAAAATGGCTGTTTCCATGGCTTCAGTTTCTGTACATTTGGTTGCTCAGTTAAGTTCTGGTAACAAGTTTAAAGCTTTGGAGCATCCCATGTTTAAAGTTTCTTGCTTTTCCCGTTTTGGTGATAGGCCTCTTTGCAGTTCTCATGGGAGGAGCAGGAGGTATGCGTATTAGTATTGTAATTATGTTCATTTTAAGTTCTTGTTGCGAAAGTTTTGTTCTTGTTTTATCTTTGAAAATGTTGTTGTTTATGATTGATGAACATAGTTTTTTCTGCTATTTTTGTGGATGTGGTATTGAAATATTTGATGTTTTGTTCAATTAGTATGAGTTTTTATGGTAAATGTTGACCCAGTTACTTTACTTGTACATATCTCTAAACATGTAAAATTCATTGGGAAAAATTCATCTAGATGTCACTAGCATATACGGAAAGATGTTCTTGTTTGTTTGTTTAATCTCTATCTTTGGAAGTTCTCTACCTTGTAATTGAGAATTTACATGGTTGGGAATCTGGGATACGCTTAATTGTTTTAAACTGACTGTTTTATCCAATATTCATTCCCCACTTGCAAATTACTGTAATTTGTTGTGTTTGATATGGCAGCTGTTTGGGGTTTGTTTCTTTTACTGAAGATTGTAATCTTTGTTTATTTTCTTGTTTAGGAGTTAAATGCATTTTAATTGGTGTAAACTAATCTTATTTTGAATATTCATTGTTAGGTTCAACATGTCTTTGAGTTTAGGACTTCTTCTGTATTTGCATTATCGCCTTGCGTTCTAATTTTTGCATTGTGTACTTTTTTCAGATGGACATCTTCGGTAACTACAATATTTCCACGAGCCTCAGCTACAGCCCTTGAGGTATGATTGGCTTTCATNAAGTAAACAGGACAAAAAGTAGGGGCTAAAACGTAATTGACCCACAAGAAAATACGTACATACGGTAGACACAAGATTGGAGAGCGAGCTTCAGTTCATCTTCACCAAACGCGTCGCTGTTTTACTTCACCCAGTAAATTTTTCTCTACAAAAATCGCATCAAAACCGACAAATTTCTGGATCAGATCACGAACGGACGTGGGAGATAATCTCACAACACACACCCCAGAGGATTGGATTGGATTGAATCGAAACAAGTGAAAGCGAACTCTTCACACATAAAAGCTTACCCACTTTGCTCTTGTTTTAATGGCGGATATTTCGAGAACTCTCCAACTCATCTCTAATTTCTCCTCTCTATCCCTTTTCAAACTTACCCTTTTCTTTAAACGCTCTCTTATGGTTTCTTTCACCTCCCTTTCTTCTCTCTAGTACTCGTTTTCTTTTGCCTTGCTTTCTTCTTGTTGGTCTGAGTCTTTTGAGCTTGTGATTTTGTGTTCCAAAATGGCTGTTTCCATGGCTTCAGTTTCTGTACATTTGGTTGCTCAGTTAAGTTCTGGTAACAAGTTTAAAGCTTTGGAGCATCCCATGTTTAAAGTTTCTTGCTTTTCCCGTTTTGGTGATAGGCCTCTTTGCAGTTCTCATGGGAGGAGCAGGAGGTATGCGTATTAGTATTGTAATTATGTTCATTTTAAGTTCTTGTTGCGAAAGTTTTGTTCTTGTTTTATCTTTGAAAATGTTGTTGTTTATGATTGATGAACATAGTTTTTTCTGCTATTTTTGTGGATGTGGTATTGAAATATTTGATGTTTTGTTCAATTAGTATGAGTTTTTATGGTAAATGTTGACCCAGTTACTTTATTTGTACAGATATCTAAACATGTAAAATTCATTGTGAAAAATTCATCTAGATGTCACTAGCATATATGGAAGGATGTTCTTGTTTGTTTGTTTAATCTCTATCTTTGGAAGTTCTCCACCTTGTAATTGAGAATTTACATGGTTGGGAATCTGGGATATGCTTAATTGTTTTAAACTGACTGTTTTATCCAATATTCATTCCCCACTTGCAAATTACTGTAATTTGTTGTGTTTGATATGGCAGCTGTTTGGGGTTTGTTTGTTTTACTGAAGATTGTAATCTTTGTTTATTTGCTTGTTTAGGAGTTAAATGCATTTTAAGTGGTGTAAACTAATCTTATTTTGACTATTCATTGTTAGATTCAACATGTCTTTGAGTTTAGGACTTCTTCTGTATTTGCATTATTGCCTTGCGTTCCAATTTTTGCATTGTGTACTTTTTTCAGATGGACATCTTCGGTAACTACAATATTTCCACGAGCCTCAGCTACAGCCCTTGAGGTATGATTGGCTTTCATTAGTTGCTTACTGGTTTTGCATGTTAAGTTTTAATTTCACGTATTTCCTGTGGTTGTTGCATGTCTTTATTGAATTTTAAACAGGATGGAAGTAATAGTGAGACTGACACAATTCCGACACCTAAAGTCATAATAGACCTTGATTCTGATCCAGATGCAACAGTGGTGGAGATAACCTTTGGCAATCGCCTTGGGGCTCTTCTTGATACTGTATGAGGCCGTTTGCTTGCCTGTTTAGATATTTGTTTATAGCTTCAATTTGCTTCTCTGTATCTATATTGAATTTTAATTCTTGCTGAGTAAGAATCTTCTGGTTTTGTGTTATATATCTCTATTGGTATCTTATGATGAGTATACGTTATTAACACTTGGTAATTGGGCTGCAGATGAATGCACTTAAAAACCTTGGGCTGAATGTCGTTAAGGCAAATGTCTATCTAGATTCCTCTGGAAAGCACAACAAATTTGCCATCACTAACACGTAAGTTATGTGATACATGTTAATCTTTGCTTGAGTCTTGGCTTAAGTGACCTTTGGTTGCAGTTTCTTACACATTTAATTTGCTTAAATGTATGTTAACCAGTCTATAGTTAATGAGCATAGTAAATAATTCCCGATGTAGATACTGCTTAAATGGCTATCATCAGTTTATTGTTAAGTTGTTACAATCATGAGAGAAGGATGTCAATTTGATGCAAAGCTTATTCTAAGAGCGAAGTTTTATGTCAAACATGTGTTGTACTTGTAAGAAAATTAAATAGATTCAAGAACTACTAGTACCCTGAAATGAATGAGTGAGTTGAATCAGTTCTTTCAATAACTTTCCTACAACAGTTACGATTAATTTGGTCATGGACCTTGTATGCAGTTCTACTGGTAGAAAAGTTGACGATCCGGAGATGCTTGAGGCAATTCGTTTGACAATTATAAACAATCTGCTTCAGTATCACCCGGTAACCTACTTTTTGTGCTTGAAATATCACCTGGTGAAAGTCCTTCTGTAGGACTTGCCTAACCAAAAAGCTTATTGAGTGTGAATTGGTGGTACCAGGAATCAAGTTCCCAGTTAGCAATGGGTGTAGCTTTTGGCGTTGAACCACCAAAACAGCAGGTCTTTGATTTCTGATCCTACTTTGGCTTTTCAATCTCCCTAGTAGAACATTTGCTTGTCGAACTAAGGGGTTGTATTTAGGTGTTTTTTGGTCAATATTGCTTGGACTTATTTATATTTTTTTTTTTTGCTTTTGATTGAAATTGGTGCCATGTTGTATGATTGTTGACACGGCTAGTAAATTATTGAGGGGACCATTATGTTCCGCCAATCATGGCTCACAATTTGCTTTGTTGGAATTTTTTCAGGTTGATGTGGACATAGCGACCCATGTAAATGTCTCTGATGATGGTCCTGATCGAAGGTAATGCATGATTTAGTCTTATACTCAATGTCAGGGCTTTTGCATCCCACAAAACTTTGGCCTTATGACAATAGTTTTTGAGACTATAGCCCGACCTACCAATTTCCCTGTCAATAATGCAACATTATCTTGTCCATTAGAATGGATATGGAAAATATGTGGCTCTTACCCATATTATTTTTTCTTTTGCTTTATCAAAGCTTGCTTTATGTGGAGACAGTGGATCGCCCTGGATTATTGGTTGATCTTGTAAAGATTATCACTGACATCAATGTCGCTGTTGAATCAGGAGAGTTTGACACTGAGGTAATTGTTTACAGAAACTTCTCTATTTTTTTATTTTATTTTATCTAGATAGAAGTAGCCAAGGATATTAATAATTCATCCTCATTAACGTTTCCGCACCAGGGGCTGTTGGCTAAGGCAAAATTTCATGTCAACTACAAGGGCCAAGCCCTCATCAGGCCTCTCCAACAGGTAAAGTTAGCCATGCCCATGAAACTTATTACAAGTTTTGACCTATATTCTGTACCGACTTGAATAGAACAAAGAGGTTTATTATTTTCTTTTAAATGAAATAATAGATTGTAGTCCTCTGGGAAAAGAAAACTTTTCTTATGCTAAGGATTGGGATTTAGTTCCGGGACTAAACGGTACAAGGTTTACACCCTAAGGAAGATCCATTCCCATTGAAGAGGCTGATGCATTATTACTTATTTAAGTTTGGCTTTGTAAATTTGCAGGTTGTTGCTAATAGTTTACGATATTTTTTGAGGCGACCATCAACAGAGGAGGCAAGTTTCTGAGCTGTTGTTGATGATCCAATTCACAATTATACACTCAAATGATTCTGTACTCCCAACATGGAATTATAAAATGTTGTCACTGTAATGGCCTTGTATAACCAAGACTTATGGACAATAATCAATAAATCTGTGATCTCTTATTGTTAGATTGAAACTGATATTTATATCGAAAATTCTTCAATGGGATGAGTCTATGTCTCCATTCAATTTTCGTACACCGCATCTGCACGCTCCTGGGAATTCTTTCTATAGTTGTATTAGGCTGTTGAAAACAGTAAAACGAATTGAAGCACAGCCAAATTACAGAAAACTTAAATTGTTTCTGGGTTATTTGAAGTTCTTATAAATGATCAGGCTGATATATGTATATTGGGTAACTAAGTAGAATATAATTGTTGAGAATGACAGGATAATTTAATAAGAAAATGAATAGGTCAACATTTTATCAGTATTATGGACAGCATTATGGGACTGGTAGGCCATGAATTCCTTTATCTTACTATTACAACTCACATAGTATGTAACAAGTTGCATATAATAATGACTGAACATAAAGTATATATGTATGCATATATACAAGTAGACATACAAGCATATGTGGTATTTATACGCTACCTGATTGGTTGAATACTCTTCCTACTAATATTATAGCTTTCTTGATTGATCGAATATGCTTCCTGATTAAAAGTATATGTTTTTTTATTCGTTGTTTGTATATGTATTTAACATTAGTAAAAAAAATTTGCCATCAACCTCGTAGGTATAACTTAAGAGCTTGTTTGGTTAGGTTATAAGCACTTTTGAAATTTAGTTCTACTTTAACGATATCTAAGTAATCCTATAGAAATACCCACCAAAAAGTTAAAAGCAACATTATTATGAATATAAATCTGGTGCCAAACATGCCTCATACCCTAAAAAACTAGAAGAAAATTAAAGGTGAAGAGATTGATAAAGGAAAAGAAGAAAAGAATGTGAACAGAATCAGAAGAATACAAAGATAAATAAGAACAAAAGAAGGCCATACCTGATAAAACTAAAAGCAAAATAATAATGAAACAAGAGAAAATGACGTGAGGCATGAAACAGGCGAGGCGATGACAAACACAACCTACATTGAGAAGAGAGAAATGGATAACATTCTCACCCTTATAAAAACCAAACCCACCATTGATCCATCCTCATTTCTTTGGAGAATCACCAAGACAAAGAGAAAGGAGATGACAGGCTCACTTGCAAGAGGAGCTCCCACTTTCAACTCCATGTTTTTCAAGTAATGTCATTCAATGAAATTTTTTAATTGTTTGCATATTGTTTCTAGATGCATTAATGTTTATGTTTTACTTTTTACAATTATATTATATGTTGCTTTGAATGGTCTAATCCTTTATTATATTCATGTATGCACTCTTAGGTCTGTTTGGATCATCTGCATATTTAAAAATACGGACCTATGGACCTTCATTTCCGATGCTAGTTCATAGGGGTGGGCAGGTCCCAGAGGAATCAGAACCAGTCGGTTCCTTGAATTTGGAACAGATCCGGTTCCTAGAAGCCAAGAACCGGAACCTAAAACATAGGTTCTAGTTTCAGTTTTAGGTCCTCGGGTTAATTTTAATTACCTCTAGTTTTTAAAAATGATAAATAAACCATCTAAAAATTACAAATATACCTTCAATATTTTACAAAAATTAAATTCAGTCTCAGTTCCTACTCAGATCTTGGGTTTCGATTTCGATTCCTTATTTCTAGAATCGAAATCTACTCTATGAGGGTCAGTTTTGGATAGGAACTGAAACAGAATCCTAAGTACCCGTCAATATCTTAATTTCGATTTGTTGTTTTGCACAACCCTATTAGTTCGTAATTAGCTATACTCAGTTAATACAAAAAGACAAAATCTGATAAAATGTTTTGTATTGAAAATTGTGAAAATTTTATTTTTATTGTTAATTATTACCATTTGAGAAATTGACAATTTCTTTTGGATGTTGGTGGATCCTTATTCATAATCAAATAATTTTCTTTTGAACAAACAAATACCAATTAATATTCTGTGACTTCCAACACACACAGGCCGATGCTGCGAAAAAGCTACCACAAAACAGGAACATCCGCCGATACAATACGCGAGAGTGCAGTGAAATTAAACCCGGAAGAGGGCCTTTCTGCAAAGAGCCAAAGCCTGCAAAATGGAAATTGCTGGGTTCCCCATGAAAAGACTGGAATTTATTATCCCAAAGGCCATGAAAAAGTTTTGGAAGATGTTCCTCCTGAAGCTGCCAGAGATATTATTGGAGTTAATTGGTTCTCTGATCATTAATCTTCTTCTTCATTCTATTTCTACTATTAAACTATGTTTAAGCCCTCTCTATATATTTTGTGTTCTTGCCTTCTTATTTTATTTTCAACTTGATCATGCCTCTTATTGTATCATGATATGGATAAAGTGGGGGGGGGGGATCGCCTTGGGGCTCTTCTTGATACTGTATGAGGCCGTTTGCTTGCCTGTTTAGATATTTGTTTATAGCTTCAATTTGCTTCTCTGTATCTATATTGAATCTTAATTCTTGCTGAGTAAGAATCTTCTGGTTTTGTGTCATATATCTCTATTGGTATCTTATGATGAGTATACGTTATTAACACTTGGTAATTGGGCTGCAGATGAATGCACTTAAAAACCTTGGGCTGAATGTCGTTAAGGCAAATGTCTATCTAGATTCCTCTGGAAAGCACAACAAATTTGCCATCACTAACGCGTAAGTTATGTGATACATGTTAATCTTTGCTTGAGTCTTGGCTTAAGTGACCTTTGGTTGCAGTTTCTTACACATTTAATTTGCTTAACTGTATGTTAACCAGTCTATTGTTAATGAGCATGGTAAATAATTCCCGATGTAGATACTGCTTAAATGGCTATCATCAGTTTATTGTTAAGTTGTTACAATCATGAGAGAAGGATGTCAATTTGATGCAAAGCTTATTCTAAGAGCGAAGTTTTATGTCAAACATGTGTTGTACTTGTAAGAAAATTAAATAGATTCAAGAACTACTAGTACCCTGAAATGAATGAGTGAGTTGAATCAGTTCTTTCAATAACTTTCCTACAACAGTTACGATTAATTTGGTCATGGACCTTGTATGCAGTTCTACTGGTAGAAAAGTTGACGATCCGGAGATGCTTGAGGCAATTCGTTTGACAATTATAAACAATCTGCTTCAGTATCACCCGGTAACCTACTTTTTGTGCTTGAAATATCACCTGGTGAAAGTCCTTCTGTAGGACTTGCCTAACCAAAAAGCTTATTGAGTGTGAATTGGTGGTACCAGGAATCAAGTTCCCAGTTAGCAATGGGTGTAGCTTTTGGCGTTGAACCACCAAAACAGCAGGTCTTTGATTTCTGATCCTACTTTGGCTTTTCAATCTCCCTAGTAGAACATTTGCTTGTCGAACTAAGGGGTTGTATTTAGGTGTTTTTTGGTCAATATTGCTTGGACTTATTTATATTTTTTTTTTTTGCTTTTGATTGAAATTGGTGCCATGTTGTATGATTGTTGACACGGCTAGTAAATTATTGAGGGGACCATTATGTTCCGCCAATCATGGCTCACAATTTGCTTTGTTGGAATTTTTTCAGGTTGATGTGGACATAGCGACCCATGTAAATGTCTCTGATGATGGTCCTGATCGAAGGTAATGCATGATTTAGTCTTATACTCAATGTCAGGGCTTTTGCATCCCACAAAACTTTGGCCTTATGACAATAGTTTTTGAGACTATAGCCCGACCTACCAATTTCCCTGTCAATAATGCAACATTATCTTGTCCATTAGAATGGATATGGAAAATATGTGGCTCTTACCCATATTATTTTTTCTTTTGCTTTATCAAAGCTTGCTTTATGTGGAGACAGTGGATCGCCCTGGATTATTGGTTGATCTTGTAAAGATTATCACTGACATCAATGTCGCTGTTGAATCAGGAGAGTTTGACACTGAGGTAATTGTTTACAGAAACTTCTCTATTTTTTTATTTTATTTTATCTAGATAGAAGTAGCCAAGGATATTAATAATTCATCCTCATTAACGTTTCCGCACCAGGGGCTGTTGGCTAAGGCAAAATTTCATGTCAACTACAAGGGCCAAGCCCTCATCAGGCCTCTCCAACAGGTAAAGTTAGCCATGCCCATGAAACTTATTACAAGTTTTGACCTATATTCTGTACCGACTTGAATAGAACAAAGAGGTTTATTATTTTCTTTTAAATGAAATAATAGATTGTAGTCCTCTGGGAAAAGAAAACTTTTCTTATGCTAAGGATTGGGATTTAGTTCCGGGACTAAACGGTACAAGGTTTACACCCTAAGGAAGATCCATTCCCATTGAAGAGGCTGATGCATTATTACTTATTTAAGTTTGGCTTTGTAAATTTGCAGGTTGTTGCTAATAGTTTACGATATTTTTTGAGGCGACCATCAACAGAGGAGGCAAGTTTCTGAGCTGTTGTTGATGATCCAATTCACAATTATACACTCAAATGATTCTGTACTCCCAACATGGAATTATAAAATGTTGTCACTGTAATGGCCTTGTATAACCAAGACTTATGGACAATAATCAATAAATCTGTGATCTCTTATTGTTAGATTGAAACTGATATTTATATCGAAAATTCTTCAATGGGATGAGTCTATGTCTCCATTCAATTTTCGTACACCGCATCTGCACGCTCCTGGGAATTCTTTCTCTAGTTGTATGAGGCTGTTGAAAACAGTAAAACAAATTGAAGCACAGCCAAATTACAGAAAACTTAAATTGTTTCTGGGTTATTTGAAGTTCTTATAAATGATCAGGCTGATATATGTATATTGGGTAACTAAGTAAAATATAATTGTTGAGAATGACAAGAGAACTTAATAAGAAAATGAATAGGTCAACATTTTATCAGTATTATGGACAGCATTATGGGACTGGTAGGCCATCAATTCCTTTATCTTACTATTACAACTCACATAGTATGTAACAAGTTGCATATAATAATGACTGAACATAAAGTATATATGTATGCATATATACAAGTAGACATACAAGCATATGTGGTATTTATACGCTACCTGATTGGTTGAATACTCTTCCTACTAATATTATAGCTTTCTTGATTGATCGAATATGCTTCCTGATTAAAAGTATATGTTTTTTTATTCGTTGTTTGTATATGTATTTAACATTAGTAAAAAAAATTTGCCATCAACCTCGTAGGTATAACTTAAGAGCTTGTTTGGTTAGGTTATAAGCACTTTTGAAATTTAGTTCTACTTTAACGATATCTAAGTAATCCTATAGAAATACCCACCAAAAAGTTAAAAGCAACATTATTATGAATATAAATCTGGTGCCAAACATGCCTCATGCCCTAAAAAACTAGAAGGAAATTAAAGGTGAAGAGATTGATAAAGGAAAAGAAGAAAAGAATGTGAACAGAATCAGAAGAATACAAAGATAAATAAGAACAAAAGAAGGCCATACCTGATAAAACTAAAAGCAAAATAATAATGAAACAAGAGAAAATGACGTGAGGCATGAAACAGGCGAGGCGATGACAAACACAACCTACATTGAGAAGAGAGAAATGGATAACATTCTCACCCTTATAAAAACCAAACCCACCATTGATCCATCCTCAATTCTTTGGAGAATCACCAAGACAAAGAGAAAGGAGATGACTGGCTCACTTGCAAGAGGAGCTCCCACTTTCAACTCCATGTTTTTCAAGTAATGTTATTCAATGAAATTTTTTAATTTTTTGCATATTGTTTCTAGATGCATTAATGTTTATGTTTTACTTTTTACAATTATATTATATGTTGCTTTGAATGGTCTAATCCTTTATTATATTCATGTATGCACTCTTAGGTCCGTTTGGATCATCTCCATATTTAAAAATACGGACCTATGGACCTTCATTTCCAATGCTAGTTCATAGAGGTGGGCAGGTCCCAGAGGAATCGGAACCATTCGGTTTCTTGAATTTGGAACCGATCTGGTTCCTAGAAGCCAAGAACTAGAACCTGAAACATCGGTTCTAGCTCCAGTTTCAAGTCCCCGAATAAATTTTAATTACCCTTACTTTTTAAAAATGACAAATAAAGCCTCTAAAAATTACAAATACACTTTCAATATTTTATAAAAATTATAATTTAGTCTTAGTTGTTACTTAGATCTCGGGTTTCGATTCTGATTCTTTATTTCTAGAACTGAAACCTACTCTATGAGGGTCAATTTTAGATAGAAACTAGAACGGAATCCCAAGTACCCGCTAATTCTAATCCCAATTTTGGCCGATTTTTTTGCACACCCTAATTAGTTCTAGTTAACTATACTCAGTTAATACAAAAAGACAAAATCTGAAAAAATGTTTTGCATTGGAAATTGTGAAAATTTTATATTATTACCATTTGAGAAATTCAAAGAAATGGACAATTTCTTTTGGACAATTAATTTTCTTTTGAACAAACAAATGCCAATTAATATTCTGTGACTTCCAACACACACAGGCCGATGCTGCGAAAAAGATACCACAAAACAGGAACATCCGCCGATACAATACGCGAGAGTGCAGTGAAATTGAGCCCGGAAGAGGGCCTTTTTGCAAAGAGCCAAAGCCTGCAAAATGGAAATTGCTGGGTTCCCCATGAAAAGACTGGAATTTATTATCCCAAAGGCCATGAAAAAGTTTTGGAAGATGTTCCTCCTGAAGCTGCCAGAGATATTATTGGAGTTAATTGGTTCTCTGATAATTAATCTTCTTCTTCATTCTATTTCTACTATTAAACTATGCTTAAGCCCTCTCTATATATTTTGTGTTCTTGCCTTTTTATTTTATTTTCAACTTGATCATGCCTCTTATTGTATCATGATATGGATAAATATGTAACTATTTTTTTTTTTTTTCCAAATATTATGATAGTCTAATGATCATATTTTACCTAATCTTTTAAAAATCAAGTGATAAATTATTTTTTTTTTAATTGAGTCCGGACCAACTTATATCCATCTCAACTAATTTTCAGGAAAAATTATCCCACAACAACCAATCGTCGCGACCCCCTGGTTAAATTATGGGTAAATATATTACTTTTGTGCTCAAGGGAGAATCGAATCAATTGATATATTGACACGTAGAAAAAGTTAATCTTTTATATTTATATATTTATTAGTTGTTTCAATTAGATATTGAGAACAATTATATTTCTCTTAATGGAAAAACTTAAAAATTTCGGCGTTTAAGCGACGACTAAACATTTATTAGTTTGTCTTAAATGACTTCTTCAAAAATACCCGTATTCTAATTTTTAAATTCCAATCATGCCCTTTAAAACCTTAATCTCTATTACCCTATTTTATTCACATTCTTATTTTAGTTTCACTGTAGCAAACATAGTTGATAGACATACTAAAAAAAATTAAGTCAAATTATTTGTAAAATTAAAATACTTTCGTTATACTTTATCAAATTTATGGTTTGTAATACAAACTATAAATACATATCATACTTAACCTTGACAAGGATATTTATGTAAAAACACTAGTTTTCAAATATTTAAGAATTTATTAAAATAAACACTTAATACTTATAATCATATATTAAAAAAAATTACAAACAAACATATCATAAATATTTTTTTCAGTCTTATTCAACAAGAGTTATTCAGTTGTCTCAAACTGAAAAAAAAAATTCTCAATTTTCCTAATTTTCTTAAAGTTGAAATCAATAATTTCCTATAAAATATATTTATAAAATCGAAAATTTTGAAAAATTGGATCTTTTGTTCCTAGCAAAAAAAAAAAAAAAATTTTGTGAAAAACAGGATCTTTTAGTCTTAATAATCAAAACATATTTTTTTTTTGTTGTATAGAGTATGTTATATGAATTTGTGAAAAAGGAAATTAAAAATTGTTTTAAAAGGTTAATATTAAGATTACTTAATTTATTATGTAGAGGTACTCAAATAATATAAAATTTGTTAAATAATAAATTAAGACTCTAAAAAATTAAATTATAATATTACTACCAAAAAAATAAATCATAGTTATTAAAAGAAATATTCATTGAAAAGCCAATTAAATGTGACTAAGTTGCTCCAAAAATAAAACCAAAATTCCAAAACTGGACCGTCAGCACTTTTCTAGTACCCCATTGGGTGATGTTAAAGGCTTAAAGCAAATGCATTACACGCACAAGTCCAAGTCAATCAAATGGGGAAAATCTCCTTAAGGGAGAAGGGAAAGGGTTTTTACTTTTTGAAAAACAACTACTTCTAGGGTAAGTTACTTCCTTCTTCACTGTATATAAATGTTGCCCACAAGAGTCCTTGACAGAGTTGAATTCTGTTTTTTATAGAGTTTCTTAACACTATGGCACAGGAATTGGTGAGTGCCTCTGATCTTGCAGTTGATGATCTTTACTTCTCAGCACTTTTTGATGAAGAAGTAGATGATCAACAAGCCATTCTCCCAGTTTCTGACTCCAAATATGCTGAAGAGTTGCAGTTCCAGGAGGCTCTCATGGCTTCCACAGTCAGTTCTCAGATGACCAACAGGAGTGACATTACTAATCCTTCACCCCCTTTAAGGATCATCGAAGTAACTGGAGATCACCACAAGGTTCGGTTTTTGGACCCTGAGGAGTCAATGGAGATGCCAATGATGGAACTGGAATCTGGTGAGTCCTCTAAAAGTTTCTGTGAGATTTGTGCTGAAAGAAAAGAAATTGATGAAATGTTTAATACTGAGAGCTGTGTTCATTCATATTGTCGTGATTGTATGAGCAAACATGTGGCTACAAAGCTCCAGGACAATGTTATCACTGTGACTTGTCCTGGTTTGAACTGCAAATCCATCCTGGAATTTGATGCTTGTAGGCCATTGCTTTTAAAGGGTGTGGTTGAAATTTGGGAGGAGGCCATTTGTGAACAGATGTTTGATGTTTCACAGAGGTTTTACTGTCCTTTCAAGGATTGTTCAGCCATGTTGGTGACTGAAAATGATGGACAAGTTATAACTAGTTCTGAGTGTCCTTTTTGCCATAGATTGTTCTGTGCTCAGTGTTATGTTCCATGGCATTGTGGGATTGAGTGTGAAGAATTTCAGAGGCTGAATGTGGATGAAAGAGGGAGGGAGGATCTCATGGTGAGAGAGCTTGCAAAAGAGAAGAAATGGGGCAGATGCCCCAAGTGCAAATACTATGTTGAAAGAACTGATGGTTGCCCACATATGGTTTGCAGGTTAGTATATCTGATTAATTCTTGATTAATTAAGAGTTAATTAAGGCTGATTAAAGTAATTTTGTAAAGTACTATTCTTGTTTTTACTATTGTTTAATTTGCTGAATGTTGAATACCTGAGACTTACTCATTAGATGATTAGGAGTGTTGGTAGTATGAGTTTGACATTAGCTGTGAGAAATGGTATCTTTTTGAGGGTCTCATTTGAGGGGGAATTGGGTCGATGAGTTACAGATTCTCATAAGGAGAGTTTTAAGTATTAGGCTGTATAATCCGACCTAATAGATTAGTCTTTTGGATTCGATACTGCAAATTGAATTATTTTTATATTGGATTACTTGTGGAGTTAACAAAGCTGAAAAAGGGATTTTCAATTGATTTTGGTACTTGCTAATCAAATTGAGAATTGAATTTGAATTAATGGTGTTGTGGTTGCAGGTGCAAGTTTGAGTTTTGCTATGGATGTGGAATAGAGTGGAATGGAAGTCATGGTGGTTGCCACAGACAGTAGGAGACCAGAATGTGCATCATCTCACTATTATCTTTTACTGAATGAATTATTATGAAAGTGTTGATTGAAAACAAAACACTAGACTTTACCCTATTATATATTAATTAGTATGTGAAGGAGTATCTTTAAAGAGAATATTGGTCTTAGGTTTATATGTTTATCTTATGTTTTTGTGTTAATTCTCTTTTTCTATGTAATTATCAGAATCAATAAGAAAAGGGGTTTAGAGTGTTAATGTTTATCTCTATCCCTCGAATGTGTATATCTCATTCTCCCTCTATCTTCATTTATTTCTTTGTATTTTATGTATCTCATGTCTCTTCTCTAATCTTATGTTAGAGTGTAAAAGCATCTCCAATGGTGCTCTTTAAAATATAAAGAACACATTTCATTTAAATAAAGAGCATTTCATTAATTTCTAAATATAAAGAACAATTTTTTTTTTTTATTCAAATCCAATGAACTCTTTAAAATTTAGGAGAAAGAATACGTTTTAAAAAAAAAAAAAGAGTTAATAGGAGAGAGAATTAATAAATAAAATGCATAAAAACTTATCATTTATTGATTAAAATTAGGATAGATAGTGAAATTTGATTCTTAACTTACTCTTTAATTTGTATTTAGAAAATAAAAAGTCTGTTGGATTTTTGTTTTTATGGATAAACTCTTTATAATAAAGAATTTGATCATATAAAGAGTTATTTGGAGAGGTTCTTAGAGCATCTTCAATGGTATTCGAGCATATTTCACATAAATAAAGAGCATCTTCATTAATTTTTAAATATAAACAACAAAATTTGTATTTTAATCCAATGGATCCTTTAAATTAGACTTAATAAATAGGAGATAGACTTAATAGAAGAGATAATTAATAATAAAATGTATAAAAACTTGTAATTTATTAAATAAAATCGGGATAAAGAGTGAAATTTGATTATTTAGATATAGAGAGTCAAACTCACCCTTTAATTTATATTTAAAGAATAAAGAGTCTGTTCGACTCTTATTTTTATGGACAAACTCTTTATAATAAAGAGTTTGAGTCATATAAAAAGTCATTTGGATATGCTCATTTTTATTACAAAGAGTCTATCCATAAAAACAACAGTCCAACATATTCTTTATCCTTCAAATATAAATTAAAAAGTGAGTTTGACTTTTCACATCTAGAGAGTCAAATTTCACTCTCTACCCTAATGTTAATTAATAAATTATAAGTTTTTATGCATTTTATTTATTAATTCTCTTTACTATTAAGTCTCTTTCTTAAAAATACAGAACATCTTCATTAAATTTAAAGAGTTTATTGGATGTGAATAAAAAATTTGTTATTTATGTTTAGAAATTAATGAATGTACTCCTTATTTATACGAAAGAGGCTATTGTGATTCCAATTCCCTACCCCACCCCACCTCTGGCTCTGGTCCTATTCCCTAGATTGTATGAAGATGGTAGATAGAGAGAATGAAAGGGTCATGTGTTCACATTTTAGAGTGTGAAAAGCAAAGGTATAGATGGAGGCCTTTTCTTTAATTTTGAGACTTTCTGGTACTATGATTATACGTCCTTTTCTTTTGGTTGCTTTATTCGGATGAAATTCTGGCTTTTGGTATGCTTTTTGCTTGCAAGTCTTTTTTGGGTTCCATCAAATAGTATAAAGATTTTATGCCAATTTGTTAACTTATTTTGCAAGTTGCTACAAATTAGAGTTGATTTTTTTTTTTTTTTTTGGTATTCGGGAATGTTTAGGTCAACTTTCTGGGACTTTAAAGTTAAGGGTCAGGTTCCCTTATTAGTAGGCATAGGATTCAAACTCAGACATTTAAATAATACACTCAAAAGTTCCAAACAAACGTCAAAAAATATAGAGTAATATACCTAAAAGTCCGATTAGAATTGATGTTGTGTGTAATTACAACTTACAAGGACTTTGAGAATCTGGCATCTTTTGTCTACCCACATATTAACAAATTTTTAGTTGGTGGGAATAAATGAGCATATTTTCTGAAAATAATTTCTGCAATAAGAAACAAATTTGTAAGTTTATCGCGACAATTTGTAGTAAAATAATTTGTAATTTAGCATTAGTGTAGATACCATCCGGATTACAAGTTGTGATGGTAATACGAGTGTTTTAGGTAGAATTCAAGGTTTTAGTTGTTTGTGCTTTTAAAATAGAAACAATGGAAATGAATTTGTTATTATGATTATGAATATGAGACATTGTAATAAAGTGGAGAATGGAAAGTAAAAATCATTTTTTTATGTATTTTTAAATTTAAATTATATAGTGATTCTATATTTTTTTGGGTTAATATAAATCTTTATAAGCTATTAGCATCACATGTTCTCTTAATTAAAAAAAAAAAAAAAAAAAGAACAACTAACTTATAAATTATGTATACGTGCAAATTAATTGAAAGTTAGAAACAATAAAATATGATAAAATAAACCGAAAGAATTTAATGCATATGTTATTGATAAACTCATTTGATCTTGATTATTTCAAAATAAAAATAGGGTTTATGATGTAGAAAAGGAATTAAAAAAAATTCAAACTAAAAGCAAAAGATTAGTGTAGATTAATTATGTATAGATACTTTAAATCCTTTATTAGTAATTTCATAAAGGTTAACTGTAATTAAGAAGAAAAACAGTAATTGGTATTAACTAGATAAAGATGGGTCAATAGCATCACTATGAGGGTGTTAGTGATGCCTAGGAACCAATCGTGTCATCGGCTCCGAGGCATTATGTTTTGTATATATATGTGAATGTATATAGTTTGTATATACATTTTATCTTATCAATAGAAGAAAATATTTTTATTTCACATGTGGTTTATTGCTTCATTTATATATATGTATTACATGTGAAATGTCGGATGATACAAATCTTTAGAAGATCAAAAATCAAGTATTCCTACATAGGTAATATTAATTGGCAATAATATTACATAGTAGGCATGCTGAATGCCTCCGTAGATATATGTGATGGTATTGGTGTGGATGATTATAAAAGTTATATCACTAGGGCATTAACATGGATACGCAGTTAGTGAACTGTTTATTGAATATGGCCATTTATGATGAATACAGGACGTTTAAAATGTAGTCAATGATTATCATAAGATCGTACTAGGGTATTATTAATCCTTAGACCTGAGATATCACGGTTGGTTCTAAAACGCATATGGTTATATGGTGTATAAACATGAGGCTAATCATGTCATATGTTAATAAGCCGATTTGGACATGTGTTTGTTATGTGTGAGGACAAGTGATAGTAAGATGAGATCCGTTGATAGTAGATAGATTGATATCAAGTTCCTAGACAAATGTCAAGATACATGGAAAAGGGAAATCTCCGGCCGAGATATATAAAATGTTACGTGAGATGTTTCATGGTGACACGTTCCATATGTATTGAATTAAAATTAAGATAAGGATTTTGACATACCATGAATCCATTCTTAATTGGGATTAGACAACAAAAGGATTTGATTTTACAACGTGATGATTGTAAAAGGTTTGTTGAGTATACTTTCATTGTGACTTAGGGGTTATGGAGCATTGCTAGATGCCTATCATAATCAGTGGGAGTTTGTTCTAAAGAGTTATGAACAAATATATCGAAATAAACTGTGATATTAGGCTCACGGCTAGGCCACAGTAAAACTAAGGGTCACACATAAAAACTAAGGAGAATGAAGAAATAGCCAAAGGGAGTTGATTATCCAAGGTTGGCTAGCACCTACCAAAAGTAATAAAGTTTTATATTAATCATTTTCTTTATATTAAATTGGATTTTATAGGGGTGTTAATTGTAAACAATTAGGTGAAATTGTTATGTAAACAATTTAAGAGTTTAATTGTTAATTGTGATGAAATGTTAATCAATGTTATCATTTAAGAAGTTTAACAACTTCATAACAATTATGGAATGTTTAAGGAAGTCCAAAACAATTATTGAAGTTGTTTACAAGGATTCCTATATAAAGAAAATGATATATCAATTCTTGGGTAGAGATCAAAATCTCTAAGAACCTAAATCTTTCTCTTGGTCAAATTCTTCTTCCCTGGCTGGATACTCTTTTGCTTAATTGTATTGACAATAACGAGGCTCCAAGGTTGCTAAGGGCTTAAGGTAACATGTTCTACCTTACTTATTTCAATTTGATTGAAATTTATTTTTTAAACTATGACTATACTTGTCATAGTATGATATGCTTGATTCTCCATGCATCTATCTTTCAGAGGGTGCATTTGGTTCAGGGAAATATTGTATTACTAAGAATATTATTTCGGGTGATTAAAAATTAAGAGTAGTACTATACTTACAATTTTTTCATACAACCTTGATGTGGTCGATAAAGGCCATATCTCATTCAAATATGACTGATAAAAGCCATGGATTTGGCCGGAAATGACCATAATAGATTTGGCCATTTTCAACCAGATTTGCTCCGATATGGCCTTTTCGACCATCAATATGGCTAGAAATAGACATATCGGAGCCTCCCGGTTATGGTGGGCTACTCACGGCGACTCTAGGTGACTTTCAATGACTTCCCGCAACGACCGACGGTGGCTTCGAGTGGTGGGGGTGATTTTGTTATAAATTAATTTTTTATACAAGTGGGGATGTTTTAGCTAAATCTTAAATGTTGGGGGTTAAAAGAATTATTAAAAAATTATATTAATTCTTAAAAAGAAGGCAATTTAGTAATTTAAATAACATACTCACCAATTTATTTCTTCCAACCAAACATATTAATATAACATACCTACCAATTTATTCCTTTCAACCAAACAGATTAATATAATATACCCACCAATTTATTCCAACTAATCAAACATATTTTCCTAAAGATTTCCAGTAATTTTCAAGATAATCTAACATTCTAGTAATCAAATATTTCTAGTATTCCAACATTCCTTGAACAAAACGCACCCTAAAATTGAACACCCCTGTACTGTTTTTCTGATTACTTTTAATACAAACTGATGTGACAAAAGATGATTGAATGATTATAAATTAAAAATAAATGACGTGCACTTCAACTAATCTCCTGTGGTCCTGAAGTTGATAGCCGGATAAATTTCCTTAGTTGAGACCTCTATTAACTATTTAGGTGGATCGAACTTAAGACTTCTTAAGTAATAGATCCAAAAATTCTAACTGAGAGCTAGGTAGCTAGTAGTGGTTATCCTCTTCACTTTTAGGTGATATATGATTTTTGGAGATTTTTTTTGCTACAATAATAATTATAATTTATAAATGAAACTCTTTTTTTTTTTTTTAATTTTTCTAAATAGCAGATATATTTTTTTATAATTTTTTTTTTTTAAATTTCAAATTATCCGCAACATTATTGAACTCACACAAGCGTCTCCTTCGTCATTTTGTGGCGGCAAATAACTTCCCAACAAACCAACCAGAAATAACGAGTCAGAACCCGAACCCGGACCCAAATGACAGTCATCGTGAACATCACGCGCCTCTCTTTTCCTTTCCCTTTCCCTTCACACTCTCCTAAGAAATCCCCTACGTCTCCTCCACTCTCCGTCTCTTTCTGTAGCAAAATCCACAACAATAACTCCACGAACACTAACAGTAACGGTAACGGCAACAGTGACAGTGACCGCGAATCCAAGCAAGATAGTAGAAAGAGATTATCCGAACAATCGTCGTGGGAGGCGAAGGATGCGGAGGGGAATGACTATCTTTACAGGCTTGGAAAAGAGGCAGACAACATGAACATTGCCGTCGGCGCTAGGGCTGGAGTCATCGATCCTCTTTTCGCCGGAAATTTTCTCGGAAAAGACTGTAAGTTGTTGCTCCTCTTGGTAAATTGAAGAGCTTTAAATGTCATGAAATTCTATCAGTTTTTTTAGTTGGTGTGAATATAGTTTGACTTGTTTGGACTGAGAAAATGTGAGAATGTGAGAGNATCGAAAGTTAGGAACAATAAAATATGATAAAATAAACCTAAAGAATTTAATGCATATATGTTATTGATAAACTCATTTCATCTTTGATTATTTCAAAATAAAACTAGGGTTTATGACGTAGAAAAGGAATTAAAAATTTCAAACTAACAGCAAAAGATTTAGTGTAGATTAATTATGTATAGGATACTTTACATCCTTTATTAGTAATTTTCATAAAGGTTAAAACTGCAATTAAGAAGAAAAACAGTAATTGGGATTAGCTAAGATAAAGATGGGTCAATAGCATCACTACGAGGGCGCGTTTGGTTTAGGGAAATATTGTATTATTAAGAATGTTATTTCAGGTGATTAAAAATAAAGAGCAGTCCTATATTTACAATTTTTTCATACAACCCTGATATGGTCGATAAAGGTCATATCTCATTCAAATATGACTGATAAAGGCCATGGATCTGGCCGAAAATGGGCAGAATAGATTTGACCATTTTTTACCAGATTTGCTCTGATATGGCCTTTTCGACCATCAATATGGCCCAAAAAAACCATATCGGAGCCTCCTGGTTATGGTGGGCTACTCACAGCGACTCCATGTGACTTCCGACGACTTCTCGCAACGACCGATGGTGGTGGGCAGTGGCTTCGGGTGATGGGAGTGATTTTGTTATAAATTAAATTTTGATACAAGCAGGGCTGTTTTAGCTAAATCTTAAATGTGGGGGGTTAAAAGATTAATAAAAAATTAATAACAAAAATAATATTATATTAATATTTAAAAAGAGGGCAATTTAGTAATTTAAATAATATACCCACCAATTTATTCATTCCAACCAAACATATTAATATATCATACCCACTAATTTATTCCTTCTAACCAAACATATTAGTATAACATACTCACCAATTTATTCCAATTAACCAAACATATTTTCTTAAAGATTTCCAGTAACTTTCAAGGTAATCTAACATTCTAGTAATCAAATAGTCCTAGTATTCTAACATTCTTTGAGCCAAACGTACCCTAAAATTGAACACCCATGTACTGTTTTTCTGATTGCTTTTAATACAAACTGATGTGACAAAAGATGATTGAATGATTATAAATTAAAAATAAATGATGTGTGCTCAACTAATCTCACGTGACCCTGAAGTTGATAGCCGGCTAAATTTCCTCAGTTGAGACCTCTATTAACAACCTAGGTGGATTGAACTTGAGACTTTTTGAGTAATAGATACAAGAATGATAGGTGACCTCTATTAACAACCTAAGTGGATTGAACTTGAGACTTTTTGAGTAATAGACACAAGAATGATAGGTGAGAGCTAGGCACCCAGTGGTGGTTTAGATCCTCTTCGCTTTTGCATGTTATATGATTTTTGGAGATTTTTTTTGGTTACAATAATAATTATAAATGAAACTCATTTTTTTTTTTAATTTTTCTAAATAGAAGATATATTTTTTTATAATTTTTTTTTTTAAATTTCAAATTATCCGCAACATTATTGAAATCACACAACGTCTCCTTCGTATTTTGTGGCGGCAATAACTTCCCAACAAACCAACCAGAAAAACGATCAGAACCCGAACCGGACCCAAATGACAGTCATCGTGACACACGCGCCTCTCTTTCCCTTTCCCTTCACACTCTCTAGAAATCCCCACGTCTCCTCCACTCTCCGTCTCTTTCTGTAGCAAAATCCACAACAATAACTCCACGAACACTAACAGTAACGGTAACGGCAACAGTACAGTGACCGCGAATCCAAGCCAGATAGTAGAAAGAGATTATCCGAACAATCGTCGTGGGAGGCGAAGGATGCGGAGGGGATGACATCTTTACAGGCTTGGAAAAGAGGCAGAAACATGAACATTGCCGTCGGCGCTAGGGCTGGTCATCGATCCTCTTTTCGCCGGAATTTCTCGGAAGACTGTAAGTTGTGCTCCTCTTGGTAAATGAAGAGCTTTAAATGTCATGAATTCTATCAGTTTTTTAGTTGGTTGAATATGTTTGACTTGTTTGGACACAGAGAAAATGTGAGAATGTGAGAGAAAATTAGAGAGTTTAGAGAATTGCGTGAATTAGAGAAAATTGCACAAAATTTTTGAATGATTAGCTTTGAAGATATGAATACTTTCACTTATTTGACTCAGTTAATCTAGTTTGAGTTGTTTGGACGGAGACAAAATGAGAGTAGGAAGAACAGCCAAATGAGCATGAATGGCTAATAAGAGATAGCAGGAAGAAAAGTGAACGGCCCCAATCCAGTTGAAAAACTTTTAATGATATGAATACTTTCAAAATTTCTACTTTAGTTTATTGTTTGACTTGTTGGATGGAAAGAAATATGAGAAAATGAGAATTTTATTTATTCTTAATCTGGTTGAGTTATTTGATGAGAGAAAATTTGAGAAGTGGAAGAAAATAGAATTTTACTTGGTTTAATCTTCTTTGAGTTTGTTGGGCAGAGAAAAGGGTAGAAAGAAAAGTGAGAAAGTGAGAGAAAATTGGAATTTAATTTAGTTCTAATCTAGTTTGAGTGTTTGGACAGAGAGCAAATGTGAAAAAGTGAGAAAAATATTGTACTTAGTTTTAATCTGGTTTTAGTTGGTGGGAGAGGAAATGTGAAAATGTGAGAATAAATTAGATACAATTTGGTTTGAGTTGTTTGGGCAGAGAGGAAATTTACGAAATTGCAAGAAATCTGAGAGTTCAGGGAATTGAGAGAATCAGAAACTTTTCTAGTGGCTTCCATTTAATTTATTTGTTTGGAATGAATTGAATCGTCAATTACATGAGTATTTTTTATGCTCAAGTATTTGGGAAGAAGCTTTTGTATTGGCTACCATTTGAGGTGGCATTCCTAAATTATTGTTCTTACAAGCTTATTTGGATTAGTTAAAATTGTGAAATTTCTTGATTTCATTTATGGCAGCGGATATTGTGTTCGATTATCGGCAGAAGGTGACGAAGTCGTTTGAGTATCTTCAAGGAGATTATTACATAGCTCCATTGTTCATGGTAAGTTTTTTTACTGCCTTTAGTGTAGTTTCTAATGATGGTTTATGTGGATTTATTTATTTATTTTTCTCAAAATGAGCCATGAATGCCATGCTACCCTAGAATTTAACTATTTTGTCTTGCTGATTTTTTGAATTGATTATGCTAGCTGGGTTCGTGTTTTTCGTTTTTTTATTTCTATTGGTGTGTTTTTTAGTATGTTTTTAACAGTCTTTTTGATGTTAAGTGTTTCTTTTTATCAAAAAAGTTATGACTAGTGTCAAGTGCTTCTCCAGAAAGATCAAAAATATTTTGATAAATTTCATTGTCATGTTATAAGATAGACATAAAAGTGCAGCTTTTGAAAATGTTTTGACACTGTTTAAAAACACTCCAAACTCATTATTAGTATTTTTTTGGCAGTGCTTTTGTAGAAACTGCTATCTGCAAAGGCACCTAAAGCAAGAACACTTGAACTGAAAACGTGCTTTGTTGAGAAACACACATCAAGCGCTTATCTCAAAAGCCTCTAAGTGTTTTTGTCTATTTCAACAATTTGCAAATGTTTTTGATGGTGTTAAAAACACTTCCATACAAATACAATATTTACTACATCAATCTTTCTCTTCCGGTTCCCATGATTGTTTATATGCTCTGAGAATCGTAAATTTATCTGGGAGAATTCTGAGTTCAGTAGACTTTCTTGCATGATATCATCTATATGTTGATGTACTGAACATTGACCTTTAGGAATGTACAACTCAGTTAGGTCTCCTGCCCTTGTTTATCCTGGCATGAAACCCTGCCCTTGTTATCCTGGCACTTTTCGACACTTGAGTAATTTAGTGCCAATTATCAACCGGAAAAGAATTTTTTTTTTTTTTTTTAACACCAGTGAATCCATCTATTCAAAGGGTATAATTTATATTACATTGAAGTTTCAGCTATGATATAATGGGTTCTCTTTCAGATATAACATCCAAATTTACATCAGCTGTTGATCAGGTCTGTTTTTTATTTGTAAGTTAAACTAAATTCTTTTTGCACATATATATTTTCCAATGGTATTCTGTGGTGAGAGACCTACAAAATTTCTTGAAACTTCAGCTTTCCGCTATCTAGTTAAACTTTTTATTTATTTGGTGCGAGATAAAAGATGTATATTAATTCTAAATAGTAAAGCAGCATTGGACCAGGTACCCACTTCAAATAACAAAACCCATTTATCCAGCTGGTCTATTTGAACTTTTTATTATTTTGGTTCCATGATAAATCTTGCTTTTAGGCTTGTTATAATCTACATCTCAATAATTTTTATCGAATCACACTTTTACTGTCACCTAAGGTTCTTAATGCTATGCCATGTTTGTCAATGTTTCACTGTCTCAAATTCAGCAATAATTGTTTTTCAAGTTGCTCTGACACTATATAAAAGCTATTGAGAATACCTTGATTGTATATGCTGATGTTGTGTATCTTGATTAGAGATTCCTCCCCCCTCCCTAATTTTCTTTTCTTTTTCATATGAAATTTACAATTTTCAACATTTATTATCTTTCTTTTTCCTCTGTTTTCTTTTGACAGGATAAAGTTGGTAAGTTCTTTGAATTGGGCAAAGCTGAAGAAACAGTGATGAATTTTGTTAAAACAGTATGGTAGAAAAGACTTTACTGGCTTCTTCTTTTTTTTTGTGCCTATAATTTGTCACAGGTTCCATCAATAGTCATAAGCTATATATGTTTAGTGTACATGATCTGTCTCATTTGATGTTTGGCATGATAGGGGTAGTTCTGCATTAATCGAAATAAGAGATACTGCCTTGTCTATGATTGAGGACAGCATTGATATCTTTAATAATGACTCTAGCTGTCTAGCAAGAGAAAGGTGATTGGATTTGATGTAGTTTGGTTTTGAATTTTGGTAGTCATTCAGCAATAATAGGATTGGATTTTGGAGGTCCATTCAAATAAAATCCGAGTATTGGATTTACAGGACACTGATGAATTATTTTATCAACATAAATGGGTGCAGCATTTTAGCATGCAGTTTTTGTCCACAATTAGAGAGTAGTTTATGCCTAAGACTGGTCCATTTTTTTTGTCAGTGTTTATTAGCATAGTGGTTATATAAGTTAATTACTTCTTGAAAAATGATTAAACTGTGCTTCTTCATTAAATTATAATTTTATATGTAAGAAGACAAAATTAATAATCGCAGGAAAAAAGTCAAAGCTTAGAAAATGGAAGCAGTTGCTAAGGTGAAGTAAAATTATAACTAGTAATTTTTGTGGGAGGAGGGAATGAATTCTATGAAAAGATGGGTCAACTACATCTTTGGCATAATATATGGTTAAAAGTGTTCAGTTATGTCTTGAACATATAGGCTGTCTGCTTATGGTTGTGTTTCTAGTGATAATTTCAGACTGAAGTTTATATTTGTCCTGTGTTTGTCTGGTTGGATTAAAAATTGGTACTTTGCCATTAATATCAGTTATGTGCTCATATTATTAATTTCCTTTATTGTGTTTCTGTGATTCACCCAGTATGTCACATTGTGAAGAACTACATTGCTCATCTTCTCAATACCAAAGTTCCTTTGATATTAGGTATATATCCAGAATCATTTCGTTTCAAGTACAATTTGTCCATTATGTTTCCTTCTTAAAGTGTGACTTGTTATTTTTTCTTGACAAGTCATGTTTGCTCTCACATAAAAAGTTAGTATACTAATATTCCTCAATAAAATTTCATGGTTTAGATATTTCAGCACTTCAATTTATGAAACTTGTTAGCAATCTGGCTTTATTTTCAAGAGTACTGTCTCTTATTTGTGGATTTACATTAGTCTAAGGGTATTAATTTCAACCTTCACTTGGTTCTACATACTGACTAAGTGAATATTTTCTGAAATAAAAGGTATCTGGGGAGGAAAAGGGCAAGGAAAATCATTTCAGACAGAGCTAATTTTCCAGGTTATGGGAATCGAACCTGTAATTATGTCTGCTGGGGAGCTAGAGTCTGAAAAAGCTGGTGAGATGGGTTCATAGTGCGCCTTTTTTCTGTTCTTCTTTTTCTTTTTATTTTTTAATGAAAATAATTTACACGTATGTTTCTGGAGTCGGTGGCTTAAAAAAGAAGACCGTAACTACAGTTTTGATTTTCACCTTTCCAGGAAGATTTTGAAGTTCAAAGATTGTTTAGTCATCTTTTTGTGAGATCATGGCCTTTTTCTTCTATTTATTTTTGCAAAATAAGTTATGTTATCTGTACTTTTCTTTCTTGCAAGTTATTTTATTCTTTTCAAGAAATATATATCAGGACATTTTCTTTTCTGTATATTAATAGAAGATTGCTTTGGTTACATATGTGCTGTAATATCTTGTTAACCTAATTTTTTGTTGCTCTGAACAGGAGAACCAGGAAGGCTGATACGAGAGCGCTACAGAACAGCTTCTCAAGTGGTCCAGAACCAAGTTAGAAGCTTTTCCATTCTCACTGTTGATATATGTATGTCTAGGGTTATAAAGCTTAATATTGTTATTGAATATGGTTTCCTATGCAATGTGTTTTCCGGGGATTTGAATGCGTGCCCTGATGGCACATGTTAAGGTCATTAAAAAACAAACTTTTTATTATGTTCGTGCACTATTTTTATAAGAAGATAAATAAAATATATTTCGATCATTGATATCATCAAAATTTAGTGTTTTAGTGGCCTTAACATGTGCCCTTAGGATACACATTAAGACCACCCTTGCTGTTATTACAATCATTACATTGTTTTGTGGTCAGTGCATTGGCCTTCATTATAAAGTAATTCTTTTGTCTAAAGTCTCCATGGAGATACCAGCACTAATTCTATTACTATGTAGTTACATGTAGGCTTGCAATCCCTGGTTTGCTCTTTGTGGACAACTTGTTCACTCTTTTCTAGTCATTCTTTCGATGAATGATATTGTCATAGCTTCTTTTTTTTTTTTAATTAGAAAAAAAACATGTTAGGCTCTCAAAGGTCATCTCATATGTTCCATCTATATATTACAGAAAACCCCTTTAACCATATGATTTTACAAGTGTTTTAAAAACATGGAAGAAGGCTGAGCTTCTTTCCTAGCTTAAGATGAGGCATGAGCTATGGCACACAACTATAGGAGTTTCCAATCAATTGATACACAGTATATGTGTTCTATACCAGGCTGCTTATAGAAATGGACTACTCTTATGTCTATGTTGATCCACTTACTGGTGTTCTGCATTATTCAGGGCAAAATGAGTTGTCTGATGATCAATGATATTGATGCTGGCCTTGGCAGATTTGGTACGCTGTGTGGTTAATCAGAACAATGCCATATATTTGTTTTTTCATCCATCATCAATATGCTTGTTTGCTTTTGTTACTTCTGCATACCAGTTTCTCATCTTAGGCCTGTTGTAAGATTGTGCATTACATTCTGCTGTTTTATAGGAAACACTCAAATGACAGTCAACAATCAAATTGTGGTTGGGACTCTGATGAATTTGTCAGATAATCCTACCAGAGTTAGTATTGGGCAAGACTGGCGAGAGACAGATATCACAAACAGAATTCCTATCATTGTTACTGGCAATGATTTTTCAACAATTTATGCTCCCTTGATTCGAGATGGAAGAATGGATAAGTTCTACTGGTACATAATCTTCTACAAAGAAGTATCTTTTGTATTATAAGTGTGGCTTTAAAATGGATGATATTGGCTAGCTCTAACTTGTAGGATGATACTGACAATTGCGATACCATAAATTTATGGGAACAGCACCAATGCCTGGCTTTATCCAGTACTAGTTTTGACACTTTCAATCGAGTCAACATATCCTCTCCTGAATGTTTTGACACTGTCAATTGAGTCAACCTATCACTTCTCCTGAATGTTTTGAAACTCACAATCGAGTCAACATATCATTATTCCTGAATGTTTTGATCCTTTCAGTTGAGTCAACCTAGCATTACTCCTGAATGTTTTGACACTTTCAATCGAGTCAACCTGTCATTACTCTTGAATGTTTTGACACTTCCAATCGTGTCAACCTATCATTACTCCTGTATTTGTTTTCCTACACTAAGCATACTCTCTCTCTCATTACTCCTGTATTTGTTTTCCTACACTAAGCATACTCTCTCTCTCATTACTCCTGTATTTGTTTTCCTACACTATGCATACTCTCTCTCTCTCTCCCTCGCTCCATCTCTCCCTCTTTCTCTCTTTTCCTATTCTATCCATGTTGTATTGCTTTTGTTATTTTTGCTATTTCCAAATGTTTATAACCAACAATAAAGGGTTATGATCACAGGCAATAATTGGGAATTTCTTTTCCTAAAATATATCAGTTAATTTATATTTTTCATTGATGTGATTTTGTGTTGGAGCCATCTCATCCTTTTCTGAAATATTGTTTGTAAAACAGGCAGCCTAATCTTGAAGACATTGTGAATATTGTTCATAGAATGTATCAGAAAGACGGCATATCTAGAGATGATGTTGTAAGCATTGTGAACACATTTCCTAATCAAGGTATCCACTGGCGTGCATCTGAATATTTAGATGTATTTGTGAATAGGCTTTGTATAGATGTGGAGTACAGTATCACTGTTGTCAGCATAAATCTGGATTTACATCTGGAACTGGTATCTTATAATATATTTGTCGAGGCTGGAGACCATAAGATCATATTTAAATGAAGAAATTCTGTGATTTTGGCAATAGCAACTCATATCTCAGAGCCCAAAAGTAATGTTTTAAATCGAGGAAGAAAGAAGAAAAAAGAATTTTCAAAACCCTTCTGCACTTTCTTCTGCAGTGCAATACGTAGATTCCTCTAGCTAACTTTGTTCTGAGGCATGCTAAATGACCCAAAGTTACTTAAAACTCATATATTATTGCAAAGTGTGTCGTGGATATGATAAGGCATGAAGCTTCTCATTGAATAATAGGGAATACTAAAAAAGATAAAATAAAATAACTTATAAAAAGTGATGATAAGTTATCTGAAATGACAATCTCAAATTTTTTGGTTAGTATGCCAAGTTAGTACTTAGTAGTTGAAGCATCCCAGTTTTATGTTTTTAAAGCTTAGCAGCCACACGCTTGAAATCTTACTAATAATTGGATTTTTTGTATTTCTTATTTGTCTTGTATTCTTAATCTTAAGTGCAATGTACATATATGTTTGCATGCTTCTGTATTAGGGATGATACCTTGATATTTGCAGTAAGTTGGTAAATTCCTACCTAGCTTCATATATCCAGATCTTAAAATAAGATTGATTGTATCCACAAAAGTGTATTACCTGTACCACTGTCTTCTGCTAAAAGGCCATGCTATTCAGCATAATACAATTTTGTGAATCAATTTTCAATTCAAGTCATATTTTTCTTAGTCTTGGAGTCAAATTATAACATTCCAAAATCTTTTTGAGTTGCAATAAATTTTAAGTTCGTCCTGTCACTTACATGTTGAATTTTCTGGCAACCAAATACAATTTTTTGAAAAGTGACTGAGACCTAATGATAATTTAAGTATTCACTTCAAAGTATAAATAGCATTGCTCCCTAACTTCTTGATTTCAATATTTATGCAATGTTAGAAATTCTGTATCTCTATTGCTGAGCTGGTTTGCTTATACATTATTTCAATATTTACTTGAGTTATTCTTCAAAAATACTTAAAAGAAAAATGCACCAGACAATAGAGGCATCATAATATTAATTTTCTTTTTTTCTTTCATTCAGCTGGAAGCATTATTTCTTTCTAATTTTTCTGTTTGGGCAGCTTTGGACTTTTATGGAGCTCTTAGGTCCCGAACATATGACAGATCAATTTCTAAGGTATATACTTTTCTTCTCTAAGTATGAAATACCCTCAACCTTTTATAGTTTTCTCATGCACAAAGGTTGTGAAATTATTGTTGCCATTTGACTATTCAATTTTATTAACATTTATACATAGAAGACGATTGGCATACAATATAATTTATAGTAAAAGTAGGAAATGAAGTAATAAATCTTCATCAACTGCCATGCTGGTGGATACCCTAGCCAATATGTATTGGTGACTTCAACTGACTGCCATAATTCTACATTATATTTTCTCTTAGTTCTGTGTCCTAAACAAGGTTTTTGATGGAGGATCATTTCGTTAGGTATAGCAACTTGCTTCAGAATAATTCATGTCACCAACTCCATGTAACAAGGATAAAGAGCTCAGTTGAGTTGAGTTCTAAGAGCCAGAAATTGTGAAGTGAATCTAAGTTTCTCATGCAAGTTTTTAAGCATTTATGCACACTTCTGACACCAATTTCGTTGCAGTGGATAGATGATATTGGAGGTGCTGAAAAGCTTGCAAACAAACTTCTGAATAAAAGAAAGGATGAAAAACTTCCTGTTTTCACTCCTCCTGAGGTACTATAATAAATCACAACCTTTCTATTTCCTCTTGAAACTGACATGCTTATAGCTTTGTTTCTGCAATTTCTTAGGCTCTATTCAGTCAAGTTCTATAATATTCCTGTTGATTTTTTATTTTTTGTTATTTTGGAAAATGAAAACAAAAGGTTGATTTTTTGTATTTTCATTCTCAAGTGATGCATCTAATGGAGTACTTCAAAACCAGATTTTGTAGAACAAAAATATTAAAAAAATGTCTGGCACTACTATTTTTTAGGAGTACAAAAAAGATTTGTGTTTTCTCATCATTGCATTTTTGAAAATTGTAGAAAAAGTCTTTAATTCATTTTAACACCAGTGAAGGATGAATCAGTTGTGCATTTCTCAAATTCAGTACCAAACAAATTATTATTTTTTAAATCTTGTTCTTGATTTGCATAACGAAAAACAGTATTTAGAAAAAACATCAAATGCACTCTTGTATTATATGTAAGGCTTTGGCATAGAATTAAGTATGTAAAGCTGAGAAATTTTCTTCCGATTTTTGTTCCTTCTCTTCAGTCAAAATCATTTGGTTGATTTAAACTATCTAAAGTAGATGCAAATAATGTGTTCTTTGCATTCGGTTGAACAGCAAACTGTTGAGGCTTTACTCGAGTCAGGGTATTCTCTCCTCCGAGAACAACAGCTGATAATGGAGACCAAACTTTCGAAAGAGTACATGAAGAACATCGATGACTAGAAATTAAAATGCCCATTTATATGCTTTCCATATGGCGGTGTTATTATTTGGTGAGTTTGATTATTTTAATTTGTTGTATACGGTAGAAAGGAGTAGGTCAATTAATTTTGAAAGTAATTATTTTCTGATAACTATATCAATGAAGCATCCCTTCTACTATTGCAAATTTGTAAGATCATTTATTTTTGCAAATTCTAGTACGGCATCTCTGGTCTGTTAATATTTCTTAACCGAAAGCACCCGGTGTATTAGAGCAGTGCAATGTTTCTGCTCGCGTTGGTCAATCTCAAATTTTGGTCATCTGGGGGCATATGGTCATTTGCTTGATGTTTCAAGAATTTTGCAGTCTGGATTTTTTTGCTTTGTCAGGTTAGCCTTTCTTTAGTTCATTGCTTATTCAGTTTTTGTAAATTAAAGCCTCTTCTGTGTTACTACAATTTTTGTTGTTTCTTAAAAAAAAAAAAAAAAAAAAAAAATTCCCTGAATGGTGATTTGGTTTGAACCATTTTGTTCTGGAAAATCTGAGAGCAGGAAGCACACCCATAACTCTTGTAATCCTAAAAATAATACTGGAAATTTTAAGAAAGTAATCTTGGTTCAAATGTTTCTATAATTAGCTTTTTTAGTTACAATCCTAATTAAAATCAACAATTAATTCTAAAATTTTGAAAAAAAAAAAAAAAAACATTTTCTATGTTTCTCACTACCTTCTTAACTGTGACAACAATTTTTTTGATATTATATCAAATATTTTTAAATATTAAAATGACTGAAAGTGTAACTTAGATTAATTTTTTTTTGTATGGACTAGAATTATTGACAGCAATTTAATTGTCCAAGAGCATTGACCACCACAAGGAGATCAAAATTGGTGGGCTCAAGCATTCATCTATGAAACCTAAAGATAAAATGTCTGCACAATACTAAACATAATTTTTTTATGAAAATTTTCAAATGAAAAAAAAAATATTTTTTATAAAATTTGAACATGAGTAATGATTATTAACTAAATGAATGCAAAGAAAAAAACATGAATTTTATGTTTTTGTTTTTTTTTTTTAACATTTGAGGATGCATTGGTATCACATTTTAAAATTAACATTCTCAAAATAAATAAATAAAATTAAAACATTTTAGTTACTTATATTCTTAGTAGTAAAATCAAATTGAAATTACTTATAAAAATGAATGAAAATATCAAATCAAAAGTTATTTTCTTTCTTTTTAAACTACCTAATTATCCTTGGCAGTACAAGACCATAAATTACCTTAACTAAAATCAAAGTGTATATATATATATGCAGGTCTAGGTCCTTATTTAAATTTATTATGTTCAGAGAATTTTAGATATCGTTGTTAATTTACTTGAAAAAGAAAATAAGGACATATACTATTTGTTTATTTATAGGTTATTTCTCACACAAACGATAAAGTAAAGTAAAATCAGTCAAAAAATTGTCATATGTCTTATATTTAATTATATGGTACATAGATAAACACATAATTTTCTGAATTTTCTTTTTATATATATGCATTCTTTTACAGATTGTGTTATAAGGCTCAACTAATTAATAAAGCATTTATCATTCATAAATTTTATTGGAAATCCCACCTGGAAATTTATTTTGTATTGTGTAACCTATTAAAATTGGTTGATAAATTAGATTAAGATTTTAAGTTAAAATCTGTATCAATTAATTTACCATAAATTCTTTTTTAGTTACTCTTTAGGTAAAATTTAGACCTTATAATCTTATATCAATATCAAGCAATTCATGATTTTATATTGGCCATCAAAGTGTAGGGTTGTATTATTATTATTAATTTTTTTTTTTTTTTTTAAACTGGGGTGTTTGGGCCAACTTGTACGTATCTCAACTAATCTTTAGGGTTCATTGTTTCAAGTAAGTCACAAATGTAATGAATGATCTCAACGTGATTCTAACTATGAAGTCAATTAAGAGAGTAAACCTTCTTGACCACTAGACTAACTCCTTAGCGTTGATTTTATTATATTTACATTAAGAATAGAATAAGATATTCGAGGAAACTAAAATAGATGACAGTATGCATTCATTCCTTCTAAAGAAGGAATTTCTAGTAATTTTTATCATATCTCTATTTTAACTAGTGTTCAATAGAAAATACAAAGCAAAGAAGAGGAAAACAAGTGAATTTCTTAGACATAAAATTTGATTAAAGTTTAATAATTGTATTTAAACCTGCGAATAATGCATTTTTAAATAGCAGATACTAGGAATATATAATTTGATTAAAATGTCATAATTCTAATCTGAGTCATGATTTCTAATGAAGTTATTGAGGTAAGTAATTTCTGCCCATTAATTTCTTTCATTTGGTTTAAATGAAAGAAAATTTTGGAATAATATTAACCACAAAATAATATTGTGGATCAGAATATTATCTATATGTTAGTATTATTACATGAATAAAATTGGTTCACCAAATGTTTATGTACGTGATGGATGCAGAAATTTTACACAAAAATTCAAGGCTGCAGCAAATCATGTTATAGTTTACTCTTGTCTTTGCCCCATTGTCGAATACAAGAGAAAGAATAAGAGGTCAGGTGACATGACCAGTACAGTTCTGTCCTTTTTTTTTTTTTTTTAAAGCTTTCTAAAACCTAACTCTTAATCTCTCTTTTTTTTCTTTATTTCAAATTTTAGATTGAAGAGATAATAAAAATCGATTAAATATGCTTAAAGAAGTAATGCTTGTTGATTATTTATATTTTCCTTTCTTTGAAATATTGCTCAAAGAAGAGCAAAGAGGACGAAGATACAACTCTTTTTACTTATCAATCATCATCCATGATTCTTTTTTATCTTATTCATCAAAATCTTTTCTTCTTCACTGTTAAGGAAATATTTTTCTTTACCAGCGTCGTTCATTTTAATTTATTTCATTTAGCTTAGATCTTAAGTTATTTGATTATATTAAGACACACTGGTGGTGGTTTGATTAGATTTACCGTAAGAAATTTAGTTAAACCATGTAAATTCTGGTTTTTTTTTTTTGTTAATTTTCTTTTAACTTTTAATTTGTTACTTCTATGTTGTCTCACAGGTCTGATTCAGGACGACTTTACCTTTAATATATGTACAATAAAGATTGGTTCATAATCCAATCTCACAAACTCTCTCGTATAATTTCGACGTCATAGCTTACAAATAGTTAAATGGAAAAATTCATGAAAACATCAATAGTGAATGGGATTTGTGAGAAAAAGTTTTTGAAATTAGGTGACAAGTGTAGTATTCTCCTGTACGTAAGCTGTTCGTTGTTTACGAGGTAGCTTAATGGTTCATCAATCATCGTAACCTTGAAAAGCCATATATATATATATATATATACTTTTTAATCTTTTATCTCTTTCAAATTTGCAGAAGACATGAAAGAGACGCTTGAGGTTATCAGCACCTCTGACAATTTTAATGTGAATCAATATCCACAAGGTACATTTTCTGAATCTCAGAAATATTGCTGCTCGAGCGCATCCGACGTTAAATGTGTAGAATGTTGTCCGTGGCCACCAAATCAAGATTTAAGGAAGGCAGTTCCCTTTACTGCACAACATTCCAATTACGCCAATTGGTTCATCTTCAACTACATCAACAACAACTTCGTCATCTGCAATTTCAGTTTCAATTAAGTCTCCCTTCTCGTTGCATGACAGTTCCTGTTATTATTCTTCATGTTTGTTATATTTGCTTGATGTTGTGTTAATCTAGCTGTGTTTATATTTTAAGGATAACGGCTACTTGTGCCTACAAAATCAGAGTGTTTTCTGTTGTATTAAGTATTCTTCTGTAGTATTTGGTTTTGTATCAGTTTGGAATATAATATATCGTATTGTTCTGTAGTATTTGGTTTTGTATCAGTTTGGAATATAATATATCGTGTTCTTAATTTGATCAGTACTAGTACTCACGACCAAGTCCCCCGTATTCTTGCTATCTTCGTTGTTGCCATCTTTTCCGGCCATGTTAAAAAAAAAAAAAAAAAAAAAAAAAAAATTCTGTAGAGTTTCACAACCCGCTCTGATACCATGAAAAGTTTGAATATTTATTTTACTTACATTAAAAAATTGATGTACACTGCTAATAGATACAATTTACGTATCTGTCTAGATCCTAATGTTATGTTAATGCATATTTAATTACAATTTAATTAAATCTGTAAAACTATGGTAACAAGCCCTATATTTGTGCAAGTCTACAAATGGAAATAAAAGATCCTGCAATAGTTCTGTAATATTTGTTTTTGTATCAGTTTGGTATTAATATAGAGTACACGACATTTGGCATTTTGCCACCCAAGGTTTGGCCTAAAGACATTTTCCCACCCCAAAAGTTTCGAAAGGACACTTTCCCATTCACAAAAGGTTGTGAAATTATTGTAGTCATTGGACTCTTCAATCTCATTCACATTTATACATAAGAGTACCATTGGCAAACAATATAATTTATAGTGAAAGTAGGAAATGAAGAAATAAAATCCTCATTAACTGCCATGCTGCTGGATACCCTCGCTAATATGTATTGGTGACTTCAACTGACAGACATAATTCTACAATATTTTTACTCCACAAGTTCTGTGTCCTAAACAAGGTTTGGATGGAGGATAATTGTGTTAGGTAAAGCAACATGCTTCAAAATAATTTGATGCAATATGGAATGACTGCCGCAATTGCAAGACATTCAACAATAACTTCAGCAATTGATTTATGCAGATTTCATGTAATTACAACTTTGATTACTTTCCTTAAACTATTCTCTATTTTTTGTGTAAATTGAACACATTGTAACACAAAGAAATACAATACAAATACACAGACTAATTAAGTCTTCTTCCATCTTATTTTCTTGCATTCTTCAATAACTTAGCTTGCTTCTTTTGCATCTTGCCGCTTAGATTTTGACATGTTATCAGAGCAAGCTTTTTAATTTCGCTTCCACCTAGCAAACCCACTCTAGCTAGATTTCCAGAGTTAGTGAAACAAGCCCCTTGGATTAAGCATCCTTCTTCCTAGCTAATCCTTCCTAGCCAGCTTTTTAGAACCTGCAAAAAGGCATTTGGGTTAGTATTCCTTTTACCAAATTCCTAGAACCTATAGAACTACCAAATTTTAGACAAAAACTTCCCTCATGGATCCAAAAGATAACCCACAAATCACGACTCCACCAACATCAAGCCAGTCCACACAAAACCAAGACCAGAATTTGGATCCGATATGGCCCAAACCCATTCGGGTTAATGGGTCAGGCACCCAACTCAATGGGTCAAAGTCCTTACTTGGTTTTCCAGATTATGCCAAACAACTCTGATTAGCTAGAACCAGGCGACCCACTCTACTCACCGACGTCCGACGGGTTTGAGCTTGTTCTTGTAAAGCAATCTCTTACCAGATCAAAAAATTACGCAAAATGGGTGCACGATTTCCAACGAATCCTTGATCACAAAGGACAAAGAAGGGTTCATCGATGGAACCCTTCCAAAACCAAACGAGCCACATCTTCTCAAACACTGGATTCGTTGTAACACCCTTGTTCGAGCATGGATCAACAACTCCTTGACCCAGGAGATTGTTGTTGGACTGCCTCAGACAGAAAATGCCTAAGA